ACTTCATCAACATATTTACTTCCACCAATGACCTTGACGTGATCACCATCGCGGAACAGTTTTCGCAGTGTCTTGACAGGAGCGTCGATCCTTCTGCCCCTCAGGTCGCCCTCACTCACTCGCAGCGTGAGAATGTCACCTGTTACAGTAACAGTCGTACCGCGAATGCCCTTTTGTTCACCAGTGTAGATTTCGACGTTATCGCCAGCGGCAAAAGCCGATCCGGAGTCGGCAGCCTTTTGCGCAGCTTGGACAGCTAGGAGATCCATGGTCTCTGTGCCATCAGCGTTCTGAACTGAGAAGAACTGCAGTTCCTCCATCTTGGGGTTGACTTTCTCAGTGCTGACCCAGTTGACCTTGACTTCCTTGATGAGGAAACCGTTCTGGTAGTCTTCACCCTTGTATGTGTATGCCCTCTGGTTGCCCGATCCAGTCATGCTGAGATGCTTCATGTGTCGCTTCTTCGCCTCGGCTTCGTTGAACAGCTTCGCAGGGGGGCGCTCGGTTTGTCGTCCGAAGAAGCCTCGCTTGCGCTTGTTGTCTCCAGCAGCGCTTGCATCGTCGTTGAGACCATAGTCCAGGCGTGGAACGAGTTGTACGACACAGTCGAGACCGTTGGTCGAGACTTCGACGACCTTTGCAAGATCGCCCTTGTATGTGGGCGGTCGTAGCATGCGCACAAACTTTCCGACCTCCAATGGCGCACGCTTCTTCTTTCGGAGAAGATCCGGACGCTCCTTCGGGGGGATTGAGAACTGGCCAGAGCCCATGAAGACATTCTGGATACCCTCAATAAGCTCTACCACAGCCTGCTTAGAGTCGGCTTCAACGTAAAGGAATCCAGATTGTGGACCTGTAGGACCCCGTTCAAAGGCCGAGTAGACCTGCACAGGCTGGCCGGTGCGAATCTTGTCGTCAAGGCGCTTTTGGATCGCCATGATGATCTCGCGTTCCTTTCCAGGACGGCACTTGCAACCCCAAATTGATGGATCGTCAACCGTGGGCAGCGCCAAAGGTACAGCGCCTGCACCACCGCGACGAGCGCTCTGCATTTCCCTCCGCCTGTACTTTTCGTCGAACTCCTTTGCGATTTCTTCAACATCCCTTTGAGCGTTAACTTCACGGCGCATGTCGAGCTCGCGGTGGTGACGGTCGTCGAGGTCGGCGCCCGTGGGCTCGAGGAGATCGTCGGGATGCACTTCGTCGACACCTTCGTCGTCGCCCTCCTCCTCTTCCTCTTCGTCTTCGTCGACTTCGGCTTCGACATCAATGAACATGTTGCGCTTCGCCTTCTTTCTCCGTTTAGCAGGTCGGGCCTGGGAAAGATTAGCTGCTAGAACTTCGGGGGCATTGCTTCATAAAACGTACGACAACATCCTCGTCGTCCTCGTCTTCTTCGTCGTCCTCGTCATCTTCATCGTCGTCATCGTCGTCGACGTCTATGCCACCACCTTCTTCATCTTCGTCGTCGTTGCCTGTCATGTTGATCCCATCGCCTTCATCATCGTCATCTTCAGCGGCGGGTCTGCGCGAGGCGTTGCCGCGAGGAGCGACGTCATCCTCGTCAATTTCGGGCGCGGGATTGAAGTCCTCCTCCTCGTCCTCTGGGTCGCTTCCGTAGGACGCCATGGCGGTGGGAAAATGTGGAGTGATGGATGAACGTCTGTACGGGGGTTGTCGCAAAGCTCAGCAATGCAGCCGCGGTGATTAGGCAGATGTAGAGGCGGTGCCACTGGCTGATTAAGCTGTGGCGTCAGCGCACTATGGGCGAAGTGGAGGAAGAAGAGAAGGAAAAAAGAGAGGAGACGGCGAGCGTCGATGGCAATGGGCTTTGTTTGAGACTTGGAAACTCGGAGGAGGTGCGCCCAGAGAAACCGCGCTATGCTGGCGCGCCGCAAGGGGCCGTGCGCACAGCCCTCAGCTCTATCCCCAACGCGTTTGCTTGGCGTTTTTGATACGCCCCAAGGGAGAGCAAAAGTGTGATCGCTATCCGCTCACTATGCCAGTCGAATACGATTCTTGAAACACCCCGCTGGAATGGTATGGGAGATGATCATAACCTCGCCTTGTCCTCGTGCTCACATACTCTCACCACTGCTCTCCCCCAGGCCTTGTGCGCCTTCACATCCTCCAGCGCCCTACCAACTGCTTCCAACCCATTATAGTTCTCTTTGTAAACTACCGGTCGTATACTCCCTGCGTCAACTAAGCGCACGAAGCCATCCCATACATCCTTTGTCCTCTCTGGATCCCGTCGCCCGTCTTCGCCAAATCTCTATACGTTGTGAGCAGATGTAACAAACCAAGGGCTATATGAATAGGTGAATAACTTACATAGCCATGCACCGTTATTGACTTGAGAAGTATGCGGTTTGCACGGATGTTCTCAATGTTTCCGTTCCTTGCTGCAAACCCCACAATCACCAGACGACCGCGGTACTTCAAACACTTGACTCCACTCTCCACAGCGCCAATGCCATCGTACACTACATCTACACCCTCGCCGTCTTTCGTCAGTTGTTTGACACGGTCTTCCCAATTTTCATCGTGATAGTTGACAGTGCCATCTGCGCCAATACTTCTAACCATGGCGGCCTTCTCTTCGTCACCTACCACAGCAATAACCCTTGCACCAACAGCTTTTGCAATCTGTACCGCCATGACTCCAAGACCCCCACTTGCGCCCAACACAAGTACAGTCTCTCCAGCTTTGACTTTGCAAACATCAAGCAATGCGCCGTAACTTACTGATCCGCTACCACCCACTGCGCATGCCTCGGCATTCGTCCATTGCTCCGGTACATGGCGTATCGCTTCTTCAGAGGCCCAGATTTCTTCAGCATAAGCGCCTAGCCCGCCCCCAAATACGCGGACACCAGGCTTGAAAGACGATTTTGGAGGACTGGATACGACGATGCCAGAGAACTCTGTGCCTAACACAAACGGAGGCTTAATATGACGTCGGTTGTTTTGGTGCAGCCCTTGGGCATAAAGAAGATCGACATGGGTTACTGCTGAATGCGTGATCTTTATATGAATATCCTCTGGCTTTTTACGTTCTGGACTTGGAATGGAGCAAGGCCTGAGGTCTGCAATGTTCTGCACACCAGATGTTAGACTGTAAATATCTCGTGTTTCCTTCGGCAACTAACTTTGACGAACTTTTCAATATGAATGGCCTTCATGATAGGTGAAAATCAGAGACCAAAGAGGTTCCACTTGATCCTATATTAGTTGACAACTCTTTATTAGGGAAGCATACACTGCGCGCACAATGTGACTTCCAGATATATCACGGGAGATCGACGCGAGTGGGGTGCGCGAAGTTGCCGAGGTTTGTTTACTCGCAGCAACAACTGGATGAGCATATAATCGACCTATTACCACCATACACATATCAACGAGGTAGATAGATGCTCAAGCTGGTGAGTTCATTAGACTTTTCTTCGATCCAACATGTTGAGAATTTCTCAAAACAACAACAGAAGCTACGAAATGCAACGGCAGGCTAGTCCTACCACCTATACGCCACACCGGCTATTGCGCATTGTTCGGTGTAAGAGTACGTATGTATGTACGCAGTACTCAGCCTCAATACCACACTAGGATGTGAAGTTGTAATCTGCGGAGGCCAATGTTTGCGCTCACCTCCATGTCCTCCATTCATCATCCGAAAAAAGGTAACGTCAAGTAATGATGACATTATCTGTTCAGGGGCAAAGGATATTTGATTAGTAGTCAAGTTTTGGTTATTCCTGCCCAACGTTCTAGAACTATGGTCTTTCTCATCAAGGGGCTGGCCTTTTCCACGGCATCTCCTATTCCCGTGTCGATCAACAGTCCGCGTCCACGGAGATATCTTTAACATCACCCAAAAGCCACCAGCGTTACTGATCAACATCCATATACTTCCAACGGACTACTAGGCATACCGCCAAGTCCGTCAGGCAATTTCGTAGATGTAAGAAAAACCTTCGTTACAGACGTTCACTGAACGGTATCTGCCGGATATCTAGGAGCGATGACGTCTAGCGGGAGGATATTTGCTTTGGACGGCGGGCTAGACACATCCTGCCAGGGCATTCCGGATTTCAGGCTGCGGTAACTGATCGGCATCCAACTGGCGAATAAGAAGACTACGTTCAACAGAAGCAGATAACAATTGGTCCTCATATCGTAGTCTTTACTGCTATTTTGATACCGTGCCCAACCTTGGTCACTACCATAACCACATATCCCAGTACGATCAACGACAATTCCAAATCGAAAGACTAACACAGTACCGAATAAGCAACACTTGTAAGCCTAATGGCGTGTAGTTGCAATTTGCTCAGCGTAGACGTATGGCACAATGGCCCTGCTTCTCTCGCAGTAAAGACGTTCGACATTGATGCACGTTGCAGGGGACCGGTGTACCTGCATACGATAGCTGTCGCCACAGGGATAGTTCATATCAAATGAGATGGGGTTAGTACTCTACTGGTAGCGGTTTAGTTCTACGGCCCCGATCAAGCCGATGTTGCCACGGACCTCCTATGTCGGATTCAGGAACGCCAGTTTTGCGATCGAGTTTTTTGTTTTACTCTGCGATATCATCAATTAGGATGGTATTCACCACCACATGATATAGGATATAGGTGAGAGTATGTGTAATGCTTCTCGGGGTAGCCTAGTAAGAGCATACAGCTCAGCATCAGTCGCATAGCACGAACCCGGATCGACAACCCTCCCGGCACTAGAGTCCTGCGTAGTAAATGAGCATTGTGATGGGCAAATGTAGCGCGCAATGATATTGTCGATCAACGGCAGGACAGTGCAGCTAGTTAGAAGCCACCGTTTCCAGCATGAATGATGTAGCCATACCTGCGCGTTAAAAGGAGGACTAAACGCGGTATTTGAAAAGCCTCGAGGCTAAGGATTACTTGTACCTTGTGGCTCCCTACAGTTTTGGGAGAATCTACTCGACAGCCAACAAACAGTAATCTCTAATCGTCGTAGAGATGATCTATATCAAGGCCCTGCTACCTCTCGCCCTTGTTGGCCTTGCGACAGCCCGGAACTGCACCAACATCATCATCGAAACCCCCATCGTCTCCCGGCAAGGAAAGTTTCGAGAGGTCCCACTTGAGAGCAATGTGGATGTCGGCGAATTTGCAACTCGGCTCGCCAAGTTCCAGAGCAACTATAGTGCAGAGTTGCTCGAGGGATACCAGACTTTGAAAAAGACTTTCAACATATCTGCTCAATACTGCGAGCCCGATGGCGGAAGCAGTGATACCATCCAGTTATTGACTCACGGCATTGGTTTCGACAAGACATACTGGGACCTGGAGTACGACAACTACAACTACAGTTATGTCAACGTTGCTCTAGACGCAGGATACAGCACACTCGCCATTGACCGTCTCGGCATCGGAAATTCGTCGCATGGAGACCCCTTCAACGAGTAAGCAAAATCCGATACCAACACACTCACAATAAGTACACACTAACCCGCGTCCGTCCCAGAATCCAAGCCCAAGCCTCACTCGAAGCCCTCAACTCCCTCACCCTCCAACTCCGCAATGGCACAATCTGTGCCATCGGCCGCCCCTTCAAAAAAGTCATCCACGTCGGCCACTCCTTCGGCTCCGTCCTCTCCTACTGGCTCTCCGCCAAATACCCCTCAAACACCGACGGCCTCATCCTCACCGGCTTCTCCGTCTCGTCCCAATTCCTCCCTTACATCATCGCCGGCTGGAACCTACACAGCGCACGCCTCAACCAGCCCTTCCGCTTCGGCAACGCTTCCAACACCGGTATCCGGAAACTCGCAACGCAGTATTCTCTCCTTTCAAACCTCGCCTCGGGCTTCCAGAAAATACTCAGGTTCGCGGGTGTGAATCTCGCGGCCAACGACGTCTGGAACATCTTATCGACAACCGAACTCTCTGATTTTATAACCGGGTATAATAAGTCGGAAGTGCACTCTTTGAATTACCCATCAGGGTACATGACGCATTCCAGCCTCACAGCCCTCCAATACGCCTTCCTCCAACCATCCAACTACGACATCAACCTCGCACTGCACGGCGAAGCAACGAAACAAGCCGTGACGGCCGGCGAGCTACTCACCATCGGTAGCGGACCCGCCTCATCCTCTTTTACGGGCCCAGTCCTCGTTATCACAGGGGAAACGGATGTACCGTTTTGCGGCGGAAATTGCTACGGCAAGATTCCCGGCATGCAGTTTGAGAATATGATTCAGGCGGTTGATTTGGTGTTTCCGGGAAAAAAGGAGGGGGTAATGGCATATGTGCAGCCGGAGACGGGGCATGGACTTAATTTTCATTATAATGCTACGGGGGGGTATGGGGTTATGCAAGAATTTTTGGCCAGTAATGGGTTGGCTGCTTGATTTTTTTTTTCTCACAAGTTTGTCGACTGCTACTATTCTTTTCGGTAGTAGGCTTGATTTTAAGCTATTATTATTTTTTCTTCGAAAGAATTTGGGGAGAGGGCGGCAGATACGCTCGATTGTATATTACTTAACAAGATTCAAGATGATAATACACATATATTCTTTTCAACCTGAATCTCCCGGTTGCGTGGAAAAAGTTATCTTGCGGTGAGGTTGTTGACGGGGTAGTCTGCTTACTCATGCCCTATCGCGACTCATTGTCCCGCGGCATTCAACGCACCTTCCGCTTTTCTTTGCTTTTGATAATTTTCTTGGCTAAATCCCATTTGTTTAGGACTGGAAGCCTGATATCCGAGCCGGAAGGAGGGGGGGGGGTGTGCGGAATCGGGGTACGTGGTTGCTGTCGGTTGCTGGCTTGCGGTAATGGAGGTTGCGGTGGTTTTAGGTGATGACCATGCTACTTACTCAAGTAAAAGAGTGCTGACATCTCAGCATACATCAGACAAACACCAGTAGCAAAATCCCATGCGGCCTCGTAAATCCCATCTCACCTTACAATCGCAAAAGTTCTTTCTGCAGCATCCTTATCATCCTAACCCTTGTCCCCTCTCTCCAGCAATCTCAATCTCCCACCCCGCACACCAACGCTTCCCCTACTATCAATACCCCAAAGCAGCACAAGCGCATAAATGACGTTTATCCCCACCCCTATAACAAACTACCACCAAAAACTTATGCCCTAATCTCCCCTAATTTCCATCGTAAGTCCGAAATCCCCAATTTCCAATCCATGACAAAAATGCCTCTACGCAAGCTTTTGCATTGTGCAACCATGCATACATGCAATCGACAGACTGCGCACCCAATCATGCTGCAGCTCCTAGTGACAAAACGCTGATGAATAACCACAGCACTGCTTACAACACTGCAGAAAAAAGCGGGGAGGGGGGGTTAGTGCGCCCGCATAGTACCGCTTTAGCGAACCTTGTGCTCATCGGGGAACTGAAAGCAACAACACTTTTGCAGACGCAGACAGGCATTGTCAAAATGTTAGTATTACAACATCTCCGTGCTTGATTACCAAAGAGTGACTCAGATCCCGTGTTGCAACCACGTGGCCCAAGTATCCGCCTCCATTGTCGTGGGCATTGTTGTCGGGGATATCGGTTGTCGGAAAGAAGGACTACACAAGTGGGGTGCCAGTTTTTCTTCGGTTGTGCCTTGTTAGATGTGACTATGCTGGGCATAGATCGAAGACGCTCGAGCCAATGAGAGGAGAGGCCAGGGATGGCCAAGGTGGTTTGTCATGGCTTGGATATGCGATGGTGTATGCAGAATGCACGATGTTGGTAACCCGGAGACTTTGGCTTGGCGATGCCCGGATGCTTGCCTTTGTGGTTGCGATTGCGAGTGGGCCAGTAGGAAAGGAAAGATGGCATGTGGATAGGGTATGCAGTGGGCGGGGCGATTAGGGGATGCAAGATGGAAGGAAGGAGATGGAGGATAGTACAGGGGGGATTGGGAAAAGTATAAAGATGGGAGGGGAGGTGCTGGATAGTGAATCACCATCCACAGCTTTCGAGATTGAGGATAGCCAGCACAGCAGAGCAAACAACTTGACTACCGTTTCAACTACCTTTTTTTGTTCAAGATGAAGTTCTTCACCAACTTCGCTCTTGCGGCTTTGACGCTCGCCCAGACTGTTGTTAGCGATGGTATGGAGGCTCGAAAGCTTAATAGATATCTGTTCAAGTCAACTAACCAAAGACCCAGCTGTTCCATGGGAGCGTATCGACAAGAACAACTCTGTACGTCCCCATGTTTGCCTCAATCTCTCAGGATATTTTTCAACTGACTTGCTTGCAGCTGCTCCTCATTCTCGACCTGCAGGTCGGTCTGTACGGCGTCGCCCGCGACTGGGACGCTACTCTGTACAAGCAGAACATCCTCGCCCACGCCGAGATCGGCAAGCTCTTCAACCTGCCCGTCATCATGAGCACATCTGCGGACACCGGTCCCAACGGTCCTCTTCCCAAGGAGATGCTCGAGATGTATCCCAATGCGCCTCTTATCCGCCGTCAGGGTGAGGTCAAGTAAGTTTTTTTACCTGGAAGAGCGTTGAGGAAAAATGAAAAAAAGCTCGTCTAACATGCCCACCCAGCGCCTGGGACAACCCGGAATTCCAAGCTGCGATCAAGGCCACTGGCAAGAAGCAAATCATTGTTGCAGGCATTACGACCGATGTGTGCACTGCATTCCTTGCTCTTTCCCTGCGCGCCGAGGGCTACTCCGTCTTTGCCAACATCGAGGCCTCGGGTACCTACTCCGAACTTGTTCGCGACACTGCCAACTCGCGCATGGAGAAGGCGGGCGTGCAGCTCGTTTCCATGTTTGCCATTGTCTGCGATCTCATGCGTGATTGGCGTGCTACTCCTGGTGCCAAGGAGGTTCTGCCTTTCTTGGACAAGTACCTCCCTGTCTACGGTATGCTGGCTAGGCACCACGCTGCTGCTGTTGAGAACGGTACTATTCAGCCTGGTGAGCTGGACACCATTACTGGATCCAACGGTACCATTCTTCTCTAAGCGGATCGTGTGAGGGGGAAAGCTGAGGATGCGAGTGTGTGGTGATGGGAGGGGCCGAAATGAGGGGTCGGAGATGGGGAGAAATAGGAGGAGATGGAGGGATACAGGTAGAAAATAATGGAGGATAAAAATGAGGATATTGCATTCAAGTATATAGATAGAAATTTGACTGTTGTTTCTTACCTCTTCGACTTTGTACACTGAAGTATTTTTTCATTCTTACCGAGAAGCATTGAAAGATGCCAGTTGCAGCTACCAGGATGCCTGCATACGTGGCCCCGATATACTGGCACTACAGTACCTCGCTACCGTCTTTCCGTCTCTTCTTCTACAGGGTCGTACTGTGGATAGATACTTTGGGTCCAAGTGGGTGATTTCCAAGGCAATGCGCAAACTCAACAGCACGTCCAGATAAGATAGCAAGTGTACCACCAACTTCGGATAAATGAAGGCAGCCGCCTTTGGAAACTTTGTCATTGATGCGGGACGCAGAAAATATCGATTTCCAAATGAAAAGCAGAATTAAGGCTTACTGCATCGCCAAGACGATAGATTGGACAGGGAGGAGGCATCCGCGGCAGGATAAGAGAGCAGATTGATGGTAGTACCTTGGCGGAGGGAGCGACTTGGCAGACTTGCTCGCGACGACTCGCTAGATACCTTTGCGAGGTGGATATTATACTTTTGCGACCCGCGCGCTGGACCAAACATCAAGACGACGTCTGTTTCGAGGACAAGCGCGCCAAGGCCTGGGCACAAGTGAAGGCTGACAAGGTCAGCGTGGACAGCGCAAGCAGGATTCTTGAGTATTGACGAGATTTCCAGGACAAAATGGTGCCACTTTGTGACGAATGCATACAGAACTGAAACCATACATGGTTCACGGGCCGTGCTACACATATCAAGCTTTGCATGGCAGAGTCTTAGCATAGAAGATCTTGTTTCGGTATGCTAAAGGGCGGATTGTCATAGGCCGCAGCGTTTCGGGATCCGGGCAAGAAGGAATAGAATGACAAAAAAAAGTTAAGGCACGAACACGGGTTTGCAGAAAATGGATGGTAATGACTCGGGGACGGTTTGGTACCCCGTTCTTTTTGCCCCATCATACGATGGTGAGGATATACGCGCACAGCGAGGCGAGGGCTGGAGACGTACGGCCTGCATGGTGATGATTTTCCATTGAAATGGGCAAAAAAGGCAGGTGACTGGTTTTTTTTCTTGTGTACAATTGTGAGTAGGCTAGAAGAGCGCCACGGAGGTCCAGAGCCTCGAGTACCACAACACGTGTGTGCGGGCGAAGTATTAATAGGCCTGGCTGAAGCGGTGGGCCAAGTCTGTATACGGTAAGCACGGGCCGGACCTGCGTCGTGGGCGCACCCGGTCTAGCCTGTGTGTGGGTGATGAAGGAAGGGCAGAGATGGTTTGCAAAAAAAGGCAGAAAAGCAATCACAGGCGTGTGCTAGGTCGGAAAAGGGTATCGCCTGTGTGTCTGTGTGGGCGAGAAACGTTTCGCCATCCGTGGAGGGAAGCGAAAATCCCCCTGGAACAAGCGGTGCCATATCGCGACGGAGGGGCCCGCCGCCTATCCGCACACACACAGGCGTGGAGAACTCTCTTGAGGCCGACGAGGAAGGACGGGCGAGATGATACGAGGTTGAGGAGAGAGAGCAAGCGAGAGAGAGATGTTGAGAGCTAGAGAGAGCTGACAGAGTTGGCATGGCGTTGCGAGGTACAGTAAGTAAGGTGGGTATAGCCTAGCGCGGTGGTGGTGGTGGTGGTGGTTGGTGGCCAGCCAGGCGTGCAGCGCACATCCCACCGCCCATCACAGTAATCTCAGCCGGCCGGGCCTCACTGTTACCAGTCTGAAATCATCCAGGCCTTGTCATAAAAAAACCCGCACCAAGCGTCCCATACGAGACCTAGCCCGGCTGGTCGGTGGCTCCGATGCTCTGGCGCTGACTGCCTGCCTCTCGAAACGGCATCGTCTTGTGGTGTGGGCGTAGCTGATACACAATGCGGCTGGCACGCCATTGCACTCCGCCATCCCATGGCGCTATGAGGTGAGAGGGAGTGACATGTGGAGAATAAGAGGCAAAGACAAAAATTCCATATATCCCCAACTTGTCGGCCCACCTGTCGCATGTCTCTCTCCCTTCGCCCTCTTCGTCTCTGCCTTCGACCCTTTGTCATCACACTACTAACCTCCTGTTCATCTCTCATCTCATCTTCCCCGCATACCACTAGTTGCTTATACGCCCGTTGGCAATTTCACTTGCCAAGCCCGCCACGTCCTCTTTTTCTTTTTTTTTGGTCCATCTCTTGCAGCTGCGTATAATCCAGCCTTATCAGAGGGGATCCTCGTACAGGCGGGGCTTCCGTCTCGATCCGTAGCGACGCAACCCTCCCCTCCGCAGTCTAGGCCTGCCAGCGCGTCCCACTCGCGTATACGTTATCGTACAAGTGCACAGCGTATGTCTCAGTGTTCAACGAACCGATTTTTTTTTAAATTTCTCCATCCATATGTAACTAACACTTGCGCCTCAGCAAACCAAACATCTGCGCCTCAGTGAAACATTTATCTGCCCTGTTCCGTCTGGATTCCTTGGTTGGAATTCACCACACAGCCGCCATCATGCTCTCCAACACCCTCCTCACAACCCTCCTCCTCTTCTCAGCGCAAACAACAACCACTTTCGCCCTTCCAACAAGAACCCTCTGCCAATGCAAAATCGTGCCAAACACCCAATCATCATCATCAACCTCAACCACCTCTTCACCATATGCCATCGACTCGCCCTCAGCCGCCCACTGGGCCCCCGCCTCCCCCTCAGAAGACGACTCGGCCTCACCTTCGCCCAGTCCCTTGGCCAGCAGCACAATCTGCTCATCCCTCGCCTCGCAACTCTCGCAATTCCAACACACCAACCCCGACCTCTACGCCCTGTACCTCCAACGCCCCCCTACGCGCTCCATTGATGATTCAACCCCCGAAACCCCAATCCCCACTTCAGTCCTGCTGAGCGCAACCGCCTCTGACGCCTCTTCCGCAAGCGCCAATGGTCTGAAAATCATCTGCTACGAAGACGCCTCCACACCAGACACCCAAACTCCCCTCCGCGACATCCAATCCTCCCCCTTGACCCTCCTCATCCTCCAACTCATCGTCGTCCTCTCCATCGTCGCCTGCATCGCAGAAGCCCTGCACATGCTCAAGAACTTGTACGTTCCCCTCCCCCCCCCCAAATAACCCCCATCATTTTCTAACAGATGGAAAACAGCATCTCCCCACCCCCAACACCAGAACACAACCTCCGTCTCGCAGGCGCGGAAAAACGTCTCCTAGCTATCCCATCTCACCCCTACGACAGCGCTGCAAACGCAATGGCGAGTCCCGGTGCTGAAAAGAAACTCCGTGCCTATTATGAGACGCCCCGCTATTTTGTGGCAAAGGGACGGAGTGGAAGAACAGAGTTTATTGCGTATGATGATGATAGTGATGATGAGATTAATCGGCCTGTTTTGTAAAACCGTCGTCGATTTCACTTTTGTATACACTGCATAAAAGACGTTTTTATATATATAGTAATGAAGTAATGACTATTTTATATCAATGCGGGGAGGGGTTTCCATGTGAGGTGAAGGTGTGATATTTTTTTTGTATTTCCAAAGTATATACGTCATGTTGTACTTGCCTACGTACGTTGCATAACTTACCCTACACCGCAAGTTGCCGAAAAAAAAAGGAGTAAAAAGTTGGAACTTTGTAATGAGAGTAATGTACATGGTCCCTATTGAGGGAGAAAAGAGAAACGAGGTTGAAGAAAGACAGGGAGGGGGTGTATCGAAGGAAGAAATGACAGCGCCATCTAAGTCTATACACATGTTCCATCGTACAACATTTATCCCACCATATTGTCGATTCCAATATCTATCTGTCTCAACGCCATATCATACAACAAGCTCACATCGGAAACCAAAAGCGCGCATTTTAGAATCCAAAAAAAGGTGGGGGGGGGGATGGGTATAGTACTAAAGTGTATACTTACCAACTTACCTTACCTTGCACCATCCTCCAAAAAAAGAAAAAAGAAAAAAAGAGACGCATCCAGGGAACGGGATGGGAAAAGGAGTCCAGAACGGTGGGAACCCCAGTATAGAAAAAAAGAAAATGTCGCTTAGCGGCACAGTCGCTTTGGGCATTTCTTTCCTTGCATCTCCTTTTCTGTCTCTCTTAGACAGTGCTGGGTGGAGCCGGGGACGGTGGAATGGAGCGGGTGTAGTTGGCGCTCTTGGAAGTTCTGAAAGGTCAAGGAGATAGAGAGTGCCATTTGGGATATGTGCAAAAAAAAAGAGGTTCCAGGTAGGTAAATGGGTTGTTGGCGCAGTGGTAGTACTTGGTAGTGGTATGTCCAGAGCATGGGTGGGTGGGGGGTGAGGGAGGGGGTAAGGAAGTCCTGGAATCCTGCAGTCCTAGAAAAAGGCTGTTACGTAGTACAAATTTCCTAGTTAGTAGGTCATTGTTTTCTTTCGCAGTGGGAGGGGGGGCTCTGCACTATGCAGGGCGCAAATGGGAGAATAGAAGAAGAAGGAAAAAGCTAGAAGTTAAAGGGGGTTAAGGCAGATAAGGGAGGGTTGTATACTCTTTGGATATAGTTTGTCGCGATCGGATAGTTATGGTCGAACTTGGAAGTTTTGTCGCTTTCTCTTTGGCTTTTTCTTTGGGAGGGGTGGTAGGCGCAAATGGTCCTGGTATGGGAGATTGGGGGTTGGGGAGGAGCGCTTTCGCCAGCATTAGGTATTATTGTTATCGCAGTAGGCAATTTTGTTTCGGTCTTGGGGAGATTGGTTTTCTATGTCGCAAGTGGTTCTTTTTTTTGGTCGCGCGGGGCCTGTTGGAAGGGTGTGGGTGTGGGTATCGTAAAGGAAGTCGTAGAAGAAGAATGGCTTTTTTGTTGAAGCAGTGGGCGTCCACATTTGAAGTCTTCACATCACCGGGATGCTGAACCGATAGGGGGGTATAGGTGGAAGCCGTACATTAAGAAGAAGTACTCTCGTATCGAAAATTGTTGTCGTAAGAGGTAGGAGATCAGATAGATCTTTCGGAGGAAGGACAGGTGGCGTGTAGGAGATCTAAAGCAGGAGCAAACTGTCGAGCGCCGTCGATGATGTAAACGCCGGATCCGGATAAACGCCAAGCCGTGTTGTAAAATGTGTCGTACAATGAACCGAGTGTTAATGAAGTAAAGATTTTGGCAAGGACTGGCAAGTCCAGAAAGGAAGAAGATGACTGGTGACCATGACCGCATCACATGATGGTGTGATAACCCTTCTCGTTCATGACATCGATCCAAAAGGCATCGCGACCTTCATCACACTGACGCCACGTCTCCTTGAGAAGTTGAATCATTGTGCGAAGGGGCTTGTTAGGTAACCTCAACGCAAACTCTTGCAGACGCCGAATGACAAACTCTCGTGCAGAGACAATCTCAGTATCGTTGGCATGGACATCGAAAAAGTCAACCGACGAGACAAATCGAAGCTCAGATGCAGCAACGACAAGGATCAGCGGCTGAATGCAAAAGGTTCCAGATGAAGAAGGGATTGACTCTAGAGATCTGATGATGTGCATGGCAAGTGAGTTGAGCCATAGCTTCATGTCGGTATCCTCAAATGGAGTCTCGAAGCGTGGTGTGGGGAACTGAAGGTCGACAGCCTCAGTGCCCTTGAACTTATCAGAGCCCAGACGCTTGCGCAAGATAGATGGAAAAACACGATAAATCTCTAACAGACCAGCGAGACGGTAGGCTTCAGCAATGGTGACAAAGTGTTCCTTGGGGGTACGTTCGTCGCCATAGTCAATTACTTCATCAACAGACGGGCAGTCGACAGCAAGGAGATCCTCTTCCAGCGAAGCAGCGTTTTGCAGGTTCTCTTGTCGTCGACGAAGATCCATGGAAGACTCACGGTCCATTGAGCGTTCCTTGCGGACCAGACGGCCAACCTCTGCAAACAAAAAGTGAATCATGGGCGCGATGCCTGTCCAGGGGTGTGGGACAACCTTGCCGTTGGGGCCTCGTGCAACTGGAGCATTCTTCCTCGAGGTGACGCTGGGTCGCAGGCCTGACTTGGGAGAGAAGCTCATGGCATCTTCTGTCACAAAGCCCATGAGCATCTCCCAGTGGATCAAAGACTCCTCAAAGAACTGTGCCTCTCGCTCCACCTCTGCGCCGCGTGACCGGCTAAAGAGCTTGGGTAGGATGAGATCTCTTGCAGTGGAAAGGTACTCGAGTCCAAGAGCGTTGCTGTCGTGCCAGGAGGTTGTAAGACCGAGCAGCATAATACTCAAGAAGGTCTTGGTAGCACTAGTCTGTCCGCTCTGAGCAAGGGGAAGCTCAGCCTCTAGTGCCTCGCGCGCCTTGCGCTGGAGCTCAACTCCTGTTGCTGCCATGTTGGGAAAAGTGTTAGCCAAATGTGCCGCTGCCATGGATTGGATTGCGTAGTTGATGGATGGAGAGTCCTTGTAGATGCGGCCAATGGTAGTCCGGAAGGGATTTAGAGGAGAATCGAAAGAAGAAAATATAGCACAGACGTCCTTGAAGTAGTGTTGGACAAGAAGAGACTCGACATCGTCAGACGATGTCGGGCTGGGAGAAGGACTTGGAAGACGGTACAAATCAAGAAGCAGTGAACGTGAGAGTCTAGGACTAGACTCTCGGTTTGTGTCGCGGTCCAACAAGGGCATCGAGGAAGATGGGATGACATCTAGTTTCTGTAATGGTGAGTCGTTCACGCCAAAAGTAATGTCGTCTAGCGAGCCAGAATCAAAGTCAATGTTCTCAAAAGGGTCAAAGCTGAATTCTTCGTGAGGAAGATGAATGGCATCGACGAAGCCATCCAGCATGACATCCTCAATCGGAAAAGGCTCGTACTCTCGAGGAGAGTCGCCATCCTCGGTAGAGGACTCTTGGTTCGATGCAGGCTCCTCAAAGCTAGGTGGAGACGGAATTGCAGATGACGTTTGTATTGTGGGGGCTTGTTGTGGGGTGGTCGTAGTTGTCGTCATCTTGTTCTTGCTTACAGGGAGCACTGCAGCCAAGGCTTCAATGCCGCTGGCGACATTCTGAGGGAGCGTCGACTTGGGAGGAGGAGTTGTGGTGTTGAGGTTGGAGGTAGAGCTCGACTTGGGAGGCGCTGCCCTCGAGTGGCTAGGAGGCGTAAAGACCTCGTACTTTGTCGACCATTTCAAAGTCTTCTCATATCCAGGGCAGGGCACGTTCCTCTTCTTGCATTGCAGACAGCCAGGAGCAGTCTCGTCGCATTTGAGCTATGCCTTTTGTCAGCACGTGTTCCTAATAAGGGATGGATGGATGATGATGGGGCGGTGAGACTTTACCCTCTTGAGCTTGCAGCGACCACATCCATTCCTAGACTTTGTCTTCTTCGCCTTTAGATCTCTCGCCAATACCTTGTCTTGAGCCAAAGCGGGCATGTTGCGGGTTCAGTTTGACGTAGTAAAGAGGAGAGGCCTGGGAAAGTCAAACGACAATGGGGTGAGAAATCCGGTGCGAAGGAGATAGGACTTAAAATGCGGATCCATGGGTTGGGGGACGGCCACAGACTTCTAATGCGCGTGACGGACCCATGACACACCCGGTCGTTCTTCTGCCTATCACTCGACTAGGGCCGGCTAAGATAGCTGCTGATAAAAATGTCGCGCTGGTGTGGTTGATGCAGGGCGTGTAAGCCTAGATTCCGAAATTCGGCTCTTCCTTATGCATTCTGCATCGGCGTGTGCCTTATTGGCCAGGCCTATCCGCCACGACAGTCTTCTTTGCTGTACAAACCCCTCTATGGGAGGACGCCCGGTGGGCGGAAAAGTTGGACACGAAATGTACTGCCTGTGCGCATCCTCTACCGCTATCCTCGCCTACAAGCCAACGACGGACAACTTTGCGAGAAAAGCATCATGGGGCAAGATGAGGCGCCAGCGATAGGAAGATGGAGAGGCTACCCCACAGCCATCTCGAGGTGGGACGGAACGAGTGGATGGCATGACTGGTTGTGGATTAGGGCTAGGCATACTCGCTCCACTTGTTGCTTCACGATAGCCTTGTTCCAAGATAAAGCCACGTCTGCCCGCATGCCTCATGACGATGTCGGACCGCAACTCCAAGTCGGTGGGCCAGGCTAATGCGGAAATATCAGTGTGTACAGCAGCGAAGTGCGTGTTGCGTCGGTATAGTTATCTTCGGAGACGAATCCGTTATCAAGGGCAGCGATAAGGACTATCACCACTCAGCAAGCGTCGTCATCTCTCCAAACGAGGCGGCTCTGCCAGCAACCTGCTTGGCTGGCCAACCCTGCACGTGTGTATTTTGGTGGTGACATCTTTTTTTCCCTTTGGTCCTCGACGAAGTGCGGTGCTATTTCCCCCGGACCTTCTCGAAAAGTGTGCCAGCCAACCTTAATGCTGTCGGCCACCGAGACGAGGGCCAGGCCAGCCCCTTCTTGTGCGGCCTCACCCGAACCGATCTGCGTCTATAAACAATAATAAAGAGAGTTATGGAAGTTTACCCCGCAAAGAGCCACGGATGTGTGTGGATGCCGCCAGCCCATGCCGCGAGTATGATTTGTCTGATTTTCTGGGGTAAAAGAATCTGGGGGACGGGTACATCATCCACAAACGTACGCGATTGAGTAATGCCAAGCTCAGTAGGACACCGTCTGAACATCTTGGAGATGGGGAGGCAAAAAAGGTCCAACATATGGCTTCGGTAGAATTATGTCCGCATTGTGCAGCATGCAAATGGCCCCCTCTCCACCGTTTTGTGTTATGAGTGTATGGTTCGCGATGCATGCGAATGCATCCCGAGCTTGGCGGACATCCGACGGAAAACTCTGAATGCGCCCGCGTGACATATTATTGATGGTGCACCTCCATGGAACAGTCGGATGCTTGTTATCTGCAACTCCCGCGGAAGAAAAAAAATTATGTAGGCACGCGGGGAGGTTGGGGGGAGGGAGGGGGGACAGAGAGGGAGGGGAGCAGAGAGGAAGCGGATAGGGAAGCAGCGACGTTCGACAGGGGGAAGGATGGAATTCTCCAACTTCGAGGCGTCTTTGTTCATATCTCGTAGGCTTGTCTGTTGAGCCCTTAGTGTTTAATTGGCGTATGTGTTGTTGGTGTATCTGTGCTGAGCTGACAGTACATTGTCCATGTGGGCACAACAAAAACGAACTCCAACAAATCCCGTCACATGACTATGGCCACGCGCACATACGTTGGACACTTCAACATATGAAAATACAGTTTACACGTCTGTTCGTTTTCTTCACCGCTCCATCTCACGTGCATAATGCATGGCAAACACAATGACCACTTAGCTAGAACAGTCTCGAACCCTTTTTGTTTTTTTACTTTAACACATGTTTTTTTTTGGCATTGATGTTACTTATTTCTCCGCCCTCATTTCCCAACATCTATGCTATTCGCAGAATGGAAAAGAACACCTTGTTGACCGCACCAATCAATGAGGAGAAAAAAGGAAAAAAGAAAGGACAGATCAGAAGCTATATACATTTGCAAAGCCTCTCTCTCACCTCCCCCCACACTTTACCAAACTGTGACAAAAATATTCGAAGCCCGCCGCGTCAGCAACAAGAAGAAGTGATTTGTTTCCTTGCTCGCTTGATTCTCAATCCACAATCCACCAGAACGATCCAACCGTGATTCTAACGTTTTCCAAACCAAAAGAATTGAAGAAAAGGAAAAAAAGGAGCGACCCAGATGTATGCGGATGCATATGTGTTCGTAGAGAAGAAGAGAAGAAAGAAAGAAGAAAAAAAATGAAAGGGTATCGACTACCATGACGACATTTCAGAGATTCGGGCTACCGCCAGCGACATCTTTTCCCTTCAATCTCCAGTCCAGCTGAGAATGGCAGAGGTCCAAAGAGGAGGGTTGGCGACAGCGACAGCCCGATGAGGTTGCACTAGAAATTATCTAATTGCTGGGGCCAGAAGGAGAAAATGAACAGGCCCCCGGTATGTTCGTAAAAGAGGATGGATGACATGCAATGGGATTTTGTACACCAAAGAGAAATGGAGAAAGGGCTGCTCTTCCAGCGCGTTCAAAAGGAGAGGTGCCATCCCTACATGGCATTGCCACCGGGATATCTGGATTGGTTCGACATGCCCGGTCCTGGTCCGAGCATGGCAGGCGGCATGGGACCGCCTCTTCCTCTGCCGCCGCCGCCTCGGCCCCGACCGCGTCCTCGTGTAGCACCTGGGATCATAAAGTCTGGGTTTGCTGCATTGGCTTCCAGAATGACATCTCCCTGTCGCATAGGCCTTCGGGGGCCGGGGAATGGGCCAAACTGACCTGCCGCGGCGCCCATCTCTGGCCGCCAGTTGGGGTTGATTGGGCGTTGAGAGACAGAAGTAAAGTGCGATGCTTCGCTGGCCGCAGGAGAACGTGAACCATCTGGCAAATCGTCGTAAGAGCTGGTGCGAGGGAGATTGGGGTCACTCAAGTTGTTTGTGGAAAGAAAGTTGGGGTTCGGTGGCGCGAATCCACCTGGCATTAGTGATGTCGGCAGTGGTGGAGGCGCCTGTTGCTGCACGGGTTCGGCAAATCTAGGGTCTACATCTTCATAGTAGTCAGAGCTACGCTCTGGTCTGCTGACCGAGTCGACTGGAGCAAGTTGAGCATTCGCCATGACAGGCGAGTCCTGAATCGGGGAGAGTCCACGGCTGCTGTTGCTGTTATTCATGGTGCTGAGCGTCTGATCAGATGGCACTTTTTGCTGGTTCCATCCAGCCTGAGCTGGGACAAATCGCTGCTGCTGCTGCTCTTGCTGCTGTTGCGGAGGCGGTTGTCGTGGTTGCGCATCGCTATTTGATGTTAGAACAACAATCGCAAGACACGTGGTGGAAAGTACTTACGATGTCGAGTATTCGCTGGTTGGGCTCATGATTTCGGGAGAACGTCTCTGGGGTGAACCAGCTGGGAAGGGGCCACCCTGTTGAAGAGCAAGCATGCCTGCAACATCACCGTCGCTCTCTCTCAGTCCGTAGTTGTTAGCGGGTGTGCCTGTGCGGTTATCCATTTCGATAGCTTGGCCAATGGGCATTTGCGGCATTGGTCCAGGTGGTGGGCCTCGACCATACGGCGATGGCTCGCGAGGTGGCGGTCCTTGACTGTAGAAGTTGTCGTTGTTGTATCCTGGAGGAGGGGCACCACGAGCCATTGGAGGGCCATTCGGAGGTCGTCCACCACGTCCATTGCCATTCCAGCCTGGAGGGGGAGGTCCCCGCATCGCTCCTCCTCTTGGGCCATATCCGCCTCTTGGACCATAGCCTCCTCCTCTTGGGCCTCCAAACTGTCCACCTCGTGGTGGTCCTCCTCTTCCCCTATATGGACCTCCCCTGCCGCGCGGGGCTCCGTTCATCATGGCAAAACCATCATTGGGCATAGGTGGCAGAGGGTTACCGTATTGGTCAACTGGTTGTCGGCGACCGATGGGACCGCCAGGCGGCGAGCCCATTGTGTCTGGGCCATTGCCGCCGGCACTACTGACAGTCTTGAGCGAAGGGTTGCGTTGGTTCAGAGGCACCATGTCGTCCGTGGGAGACACTTTTGAGGAATCAAAATAGGCTGTGCTGCCGTTTGTTTTGAGGGCAGACGACATTGTGTCGTTGTCAAGAGGGGGCGGAGATTCAGCCTTTGGATATTCAGTGGTTACTGTCGCGTTTGCGCGATTCGCATAGTAAGTGTTGCCGTTCATCTCGTCGTTTTCGGCAATGCGTCGCTTCCTCGCCTTGCGGCTAACCAACGTACGTCTCATGGCACATGTTACAATTCCGCTTGCGACAATGATAACGGTGGCACCTAGTACAATCCATCCTCCCCAACCCACGTGGGGAACGAACAACAAGATGTCGACGAGAAACGCGAGCAGTGTGACGAGTAGGGTAGGGAAAGTGAATATAAGCAGGGCAAGAAGGTAGCGCGGCGAGTGGGCAGGCGAATGGAAGTGGGCGGCGACTGAGAGGGCGAAGCAAATGAGTGTCATGAGGGCCGCGACGGGGTGGACAATGAGGATCGAGGATAGGGCGTGTCGCTGTGCAGAGGGTAGGGAAAAGTCAGAGGTCCGTTCACCTGCAAACAGTTTCTCTGTATTCGAGTAGTTAGTTTGTGTTGCACGCGTGCGCTTGTAGTGTAGCAGCACATACCGGTGTTGTACCCGATCATGGGCCCTTTACAGCCTGAATCGCCATTTTCGCAGTAGCCCAGGACGCCAAAATGAACGCCACGGTAGGTAGCGAGCGGGATGCTCTTGATGAGGGGCGTCGAGAGGGTGGAGAGCAACAATAGCACGAATGCGACGAAGAATAGAATGGATAAAGGGGTGGCCGGACGCAACATGATGGCGACAAAGGGCAGCGTCGAGTACTACCGCAGTGGGAATCCGGTCCGCCAGCGACCGGCTTTGGAGACTCGGCGATATAGGGTTGGGAGGGGGTGTGGGAGGGGCGTGTCTGCGCGACTATAGCGAATGCGCAGACGTCGTTGTTGGAGAGAGCAGTGGAAAACGAGCCTCAGCGCGGCTGTGTCCGAGGTGAAACGAGTGACGAGTGAGGATGCACGGGGGATGCCTGCAGTGTCATTGATGCCTCGACCCAGGAATGGCACGATGCAGGACAGCGACGCAATTGACACAGACAGCCGGCGGAAGATTGACGGTCGCTGGCTGTTTCGGTTGCGGGGAAGCGTGGGCGTGGGCGTGTTGGCGTAGACACGAGGGTGGAGGATAGTGGGCGGGAGGCTGGAGGGCCAAAAGAACAAGCAAGCTGTAAGCTGCAACGGTACAAGCGGGCGGGCGGGCAGCCAATAGCGCAAACGGCACCAGAGATGGATGCGAACGTTGGGGGCTTTGGCCGCTAGTCACCGATAAACCTGCTTGCGGCTGCTTGGAATGCGGGACGCTATCCAGCCGTCAAACCACCGCTGCGGACTCGATCGTGACGTGATGATGGGTTGGGAGTGGACGAGCGACAGGAACCAGGCACAGGAACCAGGCACAGGAAAATCAATTATTAGCAACTCGAGCCCGATGCGCTGAGATTGAACGCGACAGCCTCACGTTGTGTGCGCGTTAACCCCCTGGATCTTCTCTCCGTCTCACAGCGCCAACCAGTGTGCTTCCCTGTTCATAGTGCCTGTTGTTCGGCGCAATATTCACCAGCATGCGTGCCCGTGCAGGCGTGCCATTTGCCATTTCCCCGACAAGTCCATCGTCTCATCTCGTCTAGCCTGCACGGCCCTCCCCAGAGTGATCGTCCAGGCACGCTCGGTGCTTCAAACACTGGGTTCTGCTGAAACGCGCAGAGCCTCCATAGCCTAGTCCTGAGGCAGAGCAGCTGGCCTCAATTCCTCTTCTGTCGTGTCTCGTCTGCTTCCGACACCTTCTCTCTCTCTACGCACGCTTCCTGTTCATGCCAATGGGCTCTCCCCCCAAAGAGCGCGCAAACATAGCCCTGTCCGTCCCCTTATCTGCTACCGCCATGCACCCCAGTCTAGTCTTGACGGTACTAAGCCCCGGAAATATCATCTTTTCGGCGCCACCAACTCATCTCTTGGTTCCGCGTCCCATTGGGTACATCCGTCGCAATGCCTTGTTTGCTTTTGCACTCCTCCAAAACCACACTTCGCACACGACACTGTCTCACAATCACAATGCTCCGCTTACAATTCATGCTCAATGTTTGAGCCGCAAGGCTCCTCAACTGTTTATTTTGTTTGATTCTCGGCCTCACTCATGGTATTCCTATGATAAGCAGATCCGCAAGATCCGCGTCAACCTCCCCACAAGGGGTCACGAACGCCTGGTTTTTTCGAGTTTCCGAGTCCTGCACCAATGCTCATGAATTCATGGGTACTTCATACGCTAACCTACTACTAAACACCCGCCCGTGTCACATTTAGTGACCAGCGAGGGCGTACGCACGGCGGCGGTCACGCTCCTCAGCGATCGAGAGCTTGACACCCTTGCCCTTTGGCAGAGAGATCCATGGCTTCTCCTTTCCGATGATACTGCTCGTTTGTTAGTATTTCACTGCTGCAACGTCACTACAAAGAAACTTACATGACGTTGGACTCACGAGTGGTGAACTCGTTGTCAACAGCGTCCTTGATGTGGACAATGTTGAAGCCTCCGTCGTGGCGCTCACGGTGGGTGATGACACCAACACGGCCCATGTTACGACCACCAGTGACCATGACGATGACGCCAGTATCGAACTTGATGAAGTCGGAGATCTTGCCAGTGGCGAGGTCGACCTTGACGGTATCGTTGACCTTGATGGCGGGGTCGGGGTAACGGATCCTACACATATATGTTTAGCAGTAATTCGGACATAGCCAGACCCTGGTCGTATGCCTGGTGAAAGAGGTTTCCCTTCAGTCACCTAGCCCAAACTGTGGTCCAACGGCTGATAGAGCGAGAACTTACGTTCGCGCATCGTGCGTAACCAAGTAGGGAATTCCGCCCTTGCCAAGCTGAACACGCTTGACCTTGCCGAGCTTGTATTGTGCCTCCTCGTCTGTTATCCTGTGGACGGTGAAGCGGCCCTTGGTGTCGTAGATCAGACGGAAGTTCTCGCCAGTCTTCTCAATGGAGATGACGTCCATCAATCCAGTGGGGAAGGTGCTGTCAGTGCGGACCTTGCCGTCGACCTTGACCAGACGCTGCATGAGGATGGCGTTGACCTCGCGGGCGTTGAGCGCATACTTGAGACGGTTGCGGAGGAAGATGACGAGGGGAAGGGAGTCGCGGAGCTTGTGAGGACCGGGCGAGGCCTTGGGGGCGTAGGCACCTGGGAATTGTCAATTTGATGCTCGCCATGTTGCTTTGCACCGCCGATTGCGGGCGTGCGGGAGTCGAGCGTACCGGACAGCTTGTCCAAGAGCCAGTGCGAGGGCGCGCTGAGGCGCTTCTGGTGCTTCACGGGTCCACGCGCCATTTTGACTGTTGTGTGAGGTTAGTCGTCGAGGTTGTCGGAAGTCCTGTCAGAGTACGAAATCGAGGTGGGAAGATTTGATCAAATTCCCACACTAGCGCCGTGTGCTAACCGAGCACTAGCGTCGCCGCCAAGACTAGCGCCTCGGTGTGGATCACCCTCACAAATAGATACTTGGAACGCCTAGTAAGATATATTCGAGTTGAAAAATGCAGTGATTGAAATTGAACCGTACGAGAATGCTTTGCTTCCTTTAGTTTCACGGTCAGGTCAGCACAACTCTCAACGGACATTGCTGCTGAGCCCGTCACAACACGTCAGGGTATTCAAGTCCGATGAATTTTGACTTTGAAATTTTGATTCAACTTCAATGCTATCAACATGTTTTCTTTCTTGTCCACTTTAGGCGTATCCCTTTAGTACAGCAGCCTCTGCGTTGAGGATGGACGAGCCTGCCGCTCCGATAACCGCTGCGAACAGTTAGTATCGCTTTCTATGTCTCCAGTATGGTATTCAACTTACTGTTGTGACTTAGTGCAACAAACTTGATATCGAAGATACCAGACTCGTCCTCGCGTATTCTTCCTACACTGACAGTATATCCTCTGTCAGTCTCCCTATCTAATCTTGGCTGCGGCCTATCGGGCTCGTCCATGACTGCAATTGCCTTCTTAGGCGCAGAGGGGCAGCCCAGCTTTTGCGCGTCTGAGATATAGTCGCGCATTGCCTGCTTGACCTCCTCTGCGCTGGGTGGTGGGCGACGCTCGAAGCGTAGCGATACGCATGCAGTGTGTCCATCTAGGACTGGAACACGGTTGCATGCGGCGGAGATCTTCATGGGCTGGTCTACGAAACCAGTGACACCCTCATTGACGCTTCCAAGGATTTTGGAGGCTTCAGTCTCGAGCTTGTCTTCTTCACCCGAAATAAAGGGTACGACGTTGTCGATGATGTCCATGCTGCTGACGCCGGGGTAGCCAGCGCCTGAGACTGCCTGCATTGTAACGACTGACACTTGGTTAATAGGACCAAATTTATCTTGCAACGCAGCAAAAGGAATCACAATTCCAATGACAGCGCAGTTTGAATTGCACACCAGAAAACCCTTTTCTAGCTTGTGGTGCTGCCTCTGGTGCTTGATCACGTCGAGATGTGGAAGGTTTACTGTGGGAACGACGAGTGGGACGAGAGGATCGCGGCGGTAGTTCTTTGCGTTGGAGAAGACGGCAAGTTCAGCCTTGAGGAAGGCCATCTCTACACGAAATGTAAGCTCCAGCGCACGGGATTTGAAGTAGCGCACTTACCAACGTCTCCCGCAACATCGCTGTCAAGTCCAGAGAAGACTAGGTCGCAGTCCTTGAACTCTTCGGGTACGCATTTCTTCACTACCAATTCTCCAATGCGCTCTGAATACGGCAGTGCTTGCTTCCACTTGACCGCATCTTTGTACTTCTTGCCAGCCGATCGCTCCGAGGCTCCGACCGCGTGTAGCTCGAGATGTGGGTGGAGTGCGAGGAGAAGGATAAAGCGTTGGCCGACAGAGCCAGTTGCGCCGAGCACGCCTTTGATTGAGTCAGTCAATCAGTCATTCCTGTTGGGTGGCAAATGCTTACCGCACTTCTTCTTGGGGAATTCCTTCTTAGGAGACGTAAAATGTTCGGCGTCCATGGTTATGGTAGAATAGAATGTAAAATTATGAGATTGAGTCAATCGAGTTCCCAAAGTTTAAGTCGGGAAGTTATGACGCGCGGGGGTGGGGTGGAAAACGCGACCACCGATCGCGGAGGTCCCACGCTCGCCTTGTCAGCTATGGCAATTTAGGTCACTTTCCCCCAAATCTGCAGAGCGTAAACTTTTCATTACTAAGAACATTTTTAAAAACATCAATGGGCGAGATCTGTGCATCCCCCCAGCAGATGCAGTGCAGATGGTCAGACATCCCTCCCAATGCATAATATCGGCTTTTGAACGAAAAAAAAAGAAAAAAGAAGCAAAGTAGCGGCATTAGCTATGCCTGAGCGTCCATGATTTTACCCGGGTTCATGAGCCAGTAAGGGTCTAATGCACCTTTGATGCACCTCATTACGTTGATGGTATCAACACCAAGCTCTTTCTGGAGCGATGCCTTTTTTCCGAGTCCAATGCCATGCTCGCCGGTGCAAGTACCTTCCATCTCGAGCGCTCGGTCGACCATGTCGTGAACACACTTTTCAACGGCAGCTCGCTCTTTGGGGTCTTTGCTGTTGTACATGATGCTTTCGTGAAAGTTTCCGTCTCCGATGTGACCAAGGATGCTTGCAAAAAGGCCAAGGTCGTCCATTTCCTTCTTGGAGATTTCTGTAGTAGTGTTAGGCAAGAATGGAAGAAAAGATCTGAGCGAAATTGCTATTGCAGGGTCATACCTATAATGTCTGGGAGCCGGGAAATGGGGACTGCGACATCTGTTGACCAAACCTCGTCACCTTCGCGACGGAGTGCCATCATGCTCCAAAGCGACTCTTTGCGAGCCGACCAAAGAGTTTTCTGCTCCTCGGCATCTGTAGCAAATTCAAAATCACCACTCTTATTGGCTTTTGCGATAGCCTTGACCAGCTCAATGTTCTCCTGTACCTAGTATGCAGTTAGTTACGTTCTGGGTAAATGCGCGGCTGTAGGGCTGAACATACCCCTGCTTTTGTTCCCGAGAACCTGTTTGCAGCTGTTAGCTCTGGCTTCACAAGATCTAATCTATCTGGGAAACCTACTTGAAGAACATGGTCGGCAATTCCTTCCATTTTTTTGCCGTCGCACCCGCTTTGTTGATGACGCCCATTTGCACGTCATCCATGATCTCCATGGCGGCTACAGGGACCCCGGCCCGCAGCACTTTAGAGGCTGCAGCTGCAGCATCGCGTATTGTAGGAAAGGTCACAACTGCAACGCTCGTCTCTTGGGGTATGACAGCTAGCTTGAGGGTCACTTCTGTGACGATGCCGAGGGTACCTTCGGACCCAATAAAGAGGTTTGTCAAGTTGTAGCCAGCAGACGATTTTCTAGAAAGCCATCAGTGATGCTGTGAAGCAAATACGTGGGAATATGCATACCGGGGCCGCTGTCTGGTTTTGATGACCGTGCCGTCAGCCAGTACGACGGTCAGGTTGATGACCCAATCCTTCATGGTTCCGTATCGCACGGCGTTAGTTCCGCTGCGATGATTAGTTGCAATATCCGTGCAGCGTAGATAACCGCACCCACCTGCAGCTGGTGCCTACCATGCCTCCAATTCGGGCCTGACACGTTTGTCAATAAAAGTTGGGTGGCTATGTGGTGCACAGTCAGGTGACAGGTGTATGCATACCGATGGGCCGGGATCAACAGGGAAAAAAAGACCAGACTCTTTGATCTGATCGTTGAGACTCATCCAGGGCACAGAAGGCTGGACGACAACGTCCATGCTACAGGTTTAGTCAGCAGTGCCCTCGCTCTAGGTGCTAGGCATTGCCGACTCACTCATCCTCGTGCAAGGCAATGATTCGATCCATAAAGGCAAAGTCGATGCTCATGCCACCAAAGGGAGCCGAGAAGTTTGCCTCCAAGCTTGATCCGCCAGAGTAGGGAACTTTGCGGTATTAGTAGGGAGGGTTGGAAAAGGCATGGCGTGCGTACTCATTGGTATCCTGTACTTGAAGCAGATTTTGGCAATGGCGGAGCACTCTTCAGTCGACTTTGGGTATGCCACGGCGACCGGGAGCTGGTCAATGTTGATGGAGGACCATTCCGAGTAGCCGTGTCTGTGTAAATCTTCATCGTCGGTGCTGATTACTTCCTCTCCCAGCAGTTCCCTCAGCTCGGTGATGGCCTGGAGTGTTGAGCATGGATGACGTGCAAACGTATGGTCTCTGATAAACACACCTTTTCCATCTCATGCTTGTTTGCATACTGAGGACCGGTGGACTTGAGCCATGGCATTTGGATGCGGTGGGGTTCGTCATTGGCGCCGTAAAAGTAGGTGGTTGTGCCAGTGACGGCAGAGAAGAGCAAGGCTCGCCCAGAGTTCCAGAAGGGTCGTTGGTTGGCGTGGGATGTAAAGGTTCGGTCGGCTCCGCTTCGTGCCCGAGTGCCTGCTCGCCTCAGCAAAGGCGAGACTGTGTGCCTGACTCGCGCTGCTGCTTGCCAGAACATGGTTTAAAAAAAGAGAGAGGCGAGGAGAGAAATAGGAAAGTAAGAAAAAAAGAAGAAGAAAGAAAGAAAGAAGAAGTTGGTCTACCTGGCCAGACTACAGGTCGAGGCAGGCTTCAGTGACGGAGACTATGGGCCCATGCGCGATTTGCGAGCTAGAGGAATGGATGGCAGCACTAAGCATTTTATGGGGCTCACGGGTAGAGGACAAGGACAGCAAAAGCGGAAAGAAGATGATTCAAGGTACAGGCATAGGGCGCCATTGTTGTTTTGGGCAAGGCTTTGGGCGTCATGGGCCAGCGCACGGGCAAGGCCGCAAGACCACATAGTGTGGTTGATGGAGGAGAAGAGGCATGGGGCGCGTGGGAGGCTGACTGGGTTACCGATGTGCAGCAGCAAATGAAGCCGGTTGAGCGTGATCAGCTGCAAGGGGGCTTGGAAGCCGGCGAGGCAATTGCGGGGAAGGCCAGGGCGGCAACGGCAGACAGAGGCGGTGGTATGCTATGGATATGCAGCGTGGCGACTGACGGTGGATGACAGTCAAGGCGTCGTCAGTCGCGTGACGAGGCGCCGGCTAGGGTCGCAAGCAAATGCAGATGGAACAGGGCCGAGTTTTTGCTTTTGTTTTTTCCTATTCCAGAGAGATGTAATATGGATTCAAGGGCCAGCTGGCAGGAGAGATGAGTGTGCGTGTGTATGTGCCTGGAAGCGTGGCGGCCGGCACATGGATACACAGACATGGCATGTGTGAGGCTCAGCAGCAGCAACAACAACAACCGTCGGGATGGGAAGCAAAAGGCCCGGGGGGGATCTGGATGGCGAGCAAGAGGGCGTGGATAGCGTGGATTGGACGGCCGTCATCCAATTACCTCAGCAGTGGGGGCCGTTTGCATCCACAGCGACATGCCACGCCGCCGTCAAGAGCCGCTCCAGTCGGCCTTTGCTTGTCGGCCATGGCCATCCATCCATGCACAAAGGGCGGTTTCCGACAAGAAAAGACACGACAAGACAGACGTCGATGGCGCATCCAAGCAGCCGTGACGCAACGGCATCACCCACCGTCAATCAGGCGTCCAGGCACTGCCAGAAAAAGCAAACAAGCATGCGGTGCAGGCGGCTGTGCAAGGCGGGGGAATGCTCGCGGCCCATGTCTGGACATACTACACTGCATACTACATGCGTATAGTGTATGTACACACGACTATACGACTGCGACTACAGCGCACAAAGATTGGCTGGCGCGGTTGTCGGAGGAACGCGAGAGCGCCAAACAAGATCGCTAAAGTATAGTAGGCGATCCGACGCGCTGCACACTTTGCATGGGAACCAGAACAACCCACGACTACTACTATTACTACTCCTCCTACGTACATTAGTTGCAACCTTGAAAGCCGAGGCCAGCCATGGCAAACGGGGCCCCCACGGCAGACTTGGGCGCACAGCTCAATGCGGAACTGACGAGGATCATCAAATGTCCATATCCTCCCTCGCTGTCTGTAAGTCGTGTATTAGTATTGCCGTATTGCACCATCAACCACATGACTCGTCACTTCTGCATCCTACCGTGCTTGATTGATTGATTGTCTGACCAACATCTCACACACAGCCTCTGTCCCACCTACTCGCGCATGCCGACCTACCCACCATCCGCACCTCTATCCATCACCGTTCCCCATGCGCCCTGACCGCCCTGGCCAAAATCGTCCGCGATGCCTTGCCGCTGGCGGCTTACACGCTGCGTGTCCTGCATCGTCTGTGTAAGCTTTTGACCGCTTCTTGTTACCACACCGGCTGACTGCCTCCCCCTATGCAGGCTACGCACCCGAGTTCCGTCGCCAGCTATTGATTACCTACCCGGGCCTGCTAAACGGTCTATTGGAGAGGGCCGTTTCCTCCAAGCAAGACTTCAACGACGTAAGTAGTACACGCTTTGCCACCATCCCCTCACCCTAACCCAGCACCAGCTCGGAGAACTATGTGTGCTACTTCTGTCGTACCCTTTGCCAGACGCAATTCCCTTGCCTGCGGCCGCACAGACCTTTCTGCTCCACGTCTTTGAAAAGGCTTCACAGAACCCCAGTTCCGATGCCTTGAAGTCGGTATACCGCATGCTCAATGGAGCATGTGCTCAGCTCCACCGTCTCCTTCCTAGTGCTGCTAGACGACGCTTCGATACCGAGATTTGTCGCATCTTGCAAAACAATGTATCTGGTGAGTCTGCCATGCTGCTGTTATGGCTGTGTGGCATAGTCATTATCGCCGAGCATCCAGAAGGCATCCAGTCTGCCCACGCTTCCGACACAAGTCATGAGCCCGTCTCTACCCAGAAGCTAATGCAGCAATGGGTAACACCATCCGGCCAAAAACTATTTGGCTCTACCAAAGACTTGTACAAGAATATACAAATGACGTGCTTGAATATCTTGTGGCTCCTCAAAGCCCCCGTCGACGATGACGAAGTAATTGAAGGCTTGCGTATTGCCTCTAGAATCATGCAATGCATCGACATAGACATCAGAGATAGTTGGATCAAGCTTGAGAAAGGGGCACTGCTTTTTGATAAATGCCGATCAAGGATAGAAGAGTCGGCTTCTATTCCGACCATCCAGTTAGAGGCCCTGTTCTTCTTTGGTCAGCTTTCCGGCTCAAGGAAACTGCCCCAAAGTATAGTGACGCGGTATACAACATGTGTCTTTGATGCTGTATGTGCAGCGGAGCCAGCCGGCCTTTCTGAATTGCTATCAGTATCACTTCCTAGATTCGGAGTAAGCACATCGGAAACCATTGTGAACCACTCAGCTGATTGAGACAGGCGTATATTCCAGATATCCAGGCACTGTTTTCACTTGTCATAGATACTTGTGCTACACAACCAAGCCCCAGGCACATGTCTAATCTTGTCGATTTTGTAGATGAGCTCACCACTGCTACCCTGTCTTCTTCCGTATTACGGGGCAATGCACTCCGCGGTTTGTCGTCAAAGGCAATTCAATATAAGATCTGGCGTCTTGTGCGGCTCGACCCAAATCGTAAAGCCGCCTGTACCCATATGGCATCGTTCTATCGGCAGCTCATCGCTGCTGTCCTTGCTTCCCTGATCACCGTCATTCTCGCTGCCGAGCCAGGAGAGCCGACATTACCTCATACTCTTATAATGGCCCTTGTCAAGGCACAACGGGACCTGCCACTTGTAGCGGGCACCTGCCCATATGTTTCTGAGATGCCAAAGAATACACCCTTATCACTCTTCCAAGCTGCAAACACACAAATCACTGGTCAGCATTTGGAAGACTGGAGTACACGCCTTGACTCAGAACTACAGAGCCAGGGAAAGTACCAGAGAGACGCCATCTTACGTTCAGTAGCACAAATTTGCACTGACCTTGAAACGCGCTGCAACACGGTCGAAGAACCGCTACGTAGGGAGAAGGAAAAATCAACCGAACTCGAGGAGCAAATCCGCTCCCTGAGCGATGAAGTTGAGTCATTACGAATACAAAACGAAGACTCTGTCGATCAGCTAGAAGGCTTAGAAAAGGAGCTGGAAGATCTGAGAGAAGACCAAGGCCGCCTACAGGACGAGAAGGCTGCTATTACCCAAGAAAAGGTGCAAGCGCAGTCCAAGGCCAAAGAATTGGAGACACTCCTTGAAGAGTCAAGATCGAACGCGAATGAGGCGCTCAAGGCTGCTCAGGAGAGTTTTAGCGCAAAGGAGCTCGCGCTGCAATCAAGTATTCTTCAGCATGAAGAAGATAAGCGTGTCCATGATTCGCAGATACAGCAGCTGAACGATACCATCAGTGAGTTAAGGCACTCCGGAGTTCAACGAGAGAAGGACCACAATACACTTGCCAAGGAATATGAGAATCTACAACGTCGCTGTCAGGATGTGGAGGAAACACTTCAACATGAAAGGTCAAACGCTGCTAACCAGAACGACGGCGTTGCACGTCTTGAGACACGAGTATCGGAATACCGCCGCCTTCTGGAAGAGAAGGAAGTAGAGTTGGAAGAAGCCTTGAAAAATTTGGATGCATTGCAAAGCATGCACCGAGAGTTACAAGAGACGTCGGAAGCCAGGCTCAAGGACCTAGCAGCTCAGCATACCGACGATATCGAGGCACTCAATGAGAAGGCTGAAGATGTTTGTAAGGCTCTTGAAGATCAACTACAAAATGCTTTGGAGGATTACCAGCAAGAAGAGCATGATCACGAAAAATCGCGTCAACAGATTGAGCAACTCCAAGAAATCATTCCACACCTAGAGTCTAGAATCCAAGAGCTCGAAGAATTTTGCAAAGAACAAGAAGATGAGCTCGAGGAGCGCAGAGCCATCCACAAGAACGTCTTGGCACATTTTGGTGTCTCATCCCAACAACCACTCGCCATTCGCTCCGCGTCTCGATCCTACAAGGACGTTGCCGCAACCACGACTACACGCGCGCCGCGAACTCAACGGCGACGCAAATCCGCCTTTATTGTACCCGAGGATATCACGCCAATGACAGACTCGACTACAGAAGATACTGTCGAGGCGTCTTTTGAGTCATCTTCGAAAGCCAATATCCCAGCACCCAAACGCCTGAAACCACGAACGGCTTTCAAAGTTCCCACCATGCTCACGCCGTACGCTCAGAAGCCCAATTCAGTCTCTAAACCCGCCTCAGGCAAAACATCGCCCAGTACGCGTTCAGCGCTGCGACAAATGTCGCCGAACCGGCGGCATACAGTTGGGCCTTCAACGGCTGAGCAAGTGGATAATGATACCACTGACGCGAGTGCGTTGGTGGAGAAGCAGGGAGGAAATCTCCAGGATATTGAGTATACAGACTTTGATACTGATGAAGATTTTCTCTCTGACACGCCACTTACGCCAGGATTCATGGCAGGAACAGGGAGAATTCCTAATGAAGACGAGACGAATACGAGTGAGCTGTGAGAAATGCAAGACAAGAAAAGAATCCGGGGGCCTATTGGACGGACTACATAAAAATCAGGCCCATCTACACCGACGTCATATTACTAGACTCCAAGAAAATGATACTCCTCAATGAAATCACTACCCATGTATTACCAGTCCTCCCCTCCCCCTCATTTCCAAAAACAAACCAAGTGAACCCATCAACACCCGCCACCATCCGCCCAACGCAACCCTCACGCTCCCTCTATACGAACTACCCCCCACGCGCGCGCAAAACCCCCAACCCCCCCACGCCTACCACCGGAATACCCAAAACGAACAACCCCGAATCATACCGCAGCAAAACTAACTCCACGCGTGTCCTAGCACCCAAAACTAGCAGGGTTCCCCCCCCCCCCCCGCACGACGTTACTTGCTAAACCCGGCACACCTAATTGGTCCGACTTGCACGGTATTCCTGTTTCGCAGGCACTCGGTAGACTTGCTGGTGTGATGAGTGTTGTTTGTAGAGGAAATCGAGTGTGCGTGAAATGGAGTAAAGATGATATAGATAATTTCTGCTGCGTATGGTATGTGTGTGTGGACGGGAAGGAAAGGAAAAGGTAAGTAAAGCAAGTTCCGGTTGGTAACTTGGAGGGGGGGGGGGGGGGGAAGAACCGATTGAGCTTAGATAAGTGAGGGGAAGCATAGATAGGTAAATAGATGGTAGATATGACTCCAAAATCTGGCATGCGAACATCTTTCCATGCGAAGAACGTAGGCTGTAGATATTTCGCATTCGTAATCACAGTTTCCACATTTGTTTACTTGTCGGTCGTTTGGATTGCTCTTGATTGTCCTGCGGATAGTACGTGAGAAGAGAAGAAGTAATGGCGGTCGATACGGACGTTCTGATTATAGGCGCGGGAATGAGCGGGCTTGGGCTCGCTGTGCAACTCATCCGGATGTATGATCTTCGTTCTTTTGAGATTGTGGAGAAGAGCGGGGATGTGGGTGGGACGTGGAATGTGAATACGTATCCTGGGTGTGGGTGTGATGTGAGTTTCTTTCCTTACCCTCCCCTCTCTTGCTATAAACCCCCTCCGCCCTTGTTCGCTATTCAAACCCTGATGGAGGGTTTTTTTTTGCAGAGACAGGTATGAAAGGAAAGAGGAGAAAGAGAGAAGTTGATGGGATAGTTAGGTCGCTTCACACTTTTACTCGTATAGCTTCGCACTGAATCCAGACTGGAGCCGCAAGTACTCGCACCAAGGCGAGATCCAGGCGTATTTCCGGGGCGTGGCAGAGCAGTATCGGGTCCTTGAGCATATAAGGTTTCACTCCACTGTAGAGAAAGCGGTATGGAATGAGGAGGATAAGATCTGGGAAGTCGAGGTTTTGGATCTGGAAACGAAGGAGAAGAGCGTCCGGAAGGCGAAGATTCTAGTGTCGGGCGTGGGAGCCCTGTCTGTGCCCAAGGAATGCGACATCCCAGGTGCAGAAACGTACAAAGGACGGTTATTCCATTCCGCAAGGTGGGATCATGAGTTTGATTGGGGTGGAAAAGACGTTGTTGTTCTCGGTACCCTCTCCCCCATCTCCTTCATCACAACCCCGAAAACCATATGAACGAGACTAACAAACACCCCTCAAGGAAACGGCTGCTCCGCCACCCAATTCGTCCCCATCCTCTCCAACCCCCCCAACGCAACCCGCACCCTCACCCAATTCAGCCGCCGCGCTCAATTCCTCTCGCAGCGCGAAAACCCCGTCTACTCCTCCACCTTCAAAGCCATCATGCGCCACGTCCCCCTCGCCATGCGCCTCTACCGCCTGAAATTCTACGTTGATATGGAACGCGACTACCGCGGTTTCTCCATCGACTCCGGCCGCGCCATCCGCCAGGCCCTCGCTAGCGAAAACGAAGCGTATGTCAAGAGCGTGGCGCCCCCGCGGTACTGGGATGCGCTTATCCCGAACACGGAAGTCGGGTGTAAGAGGAAGGTGCTGGATACGGACTACCTGAAGACGCTGTGGCGGGAGAATGTCGAGTTGGTGTTTGATGATGCTGTGGAAAGGATTACGGAAACGGGGGTTGTGACGAGGGGAGGGAGAGAGGTTAGGGCGGATGCGATTGTTTTGGCGACGGGATTTGAGACGGTGCAGATGTTGGTGCCGATGGAGATTGTGGGGAGGAATGGGGTGGAGTTGAGGGAGTATGTAAGTTGACCTTTTCTGCTATTATCCCCCGGGTTTTTACTGGAGAAAGGAGTGGGTGATTGATAACTTGGGCAGTGGGATAAAACCTTCCGCGGCGTCGCACAAGCGTACTTTGGCACTGTTGTGCCGCACTTTCCTAACTTCTTCATACTGGTAAGTAAGAGAAATACGTGTCCGAAAACGCGGGTGAGACATATACACTGACTTCACATCTTACGAATCTGTTCAGATGGGTCCGAATACAGTTACCGGTCATCTCAGTGTTATATACAGCACCGAGTGCCAGATCAATTTCATGTTACGCCTTCTCGATCCCATCATCAAATCACTGCCGTGGTACCAGTCACAGTCATTGCTCCCGAGCTTCTTCACCGCGGCGCCAGCAACCGTCGAAGTCAAGTCTGAAGCCGCGGCCGCAGATTCCCAATGGACACAAGCCGAAGCAAAGAAGCTAGTCTGGTCAACTGGATGTGTGAATTGGGCTGTTGATCGTAAGACGGGACTTAACCATAGTAAGTACATATGATTGTCTCTTCGCAAATCCACATGCTTTGAGAAAGAGTAGGAAACTAACGACATGCGTAGTGATGTATCCAGACTGGCAATTCATGTTCTGGCTCCGAAGCATCTTCTGGAAGAAAACCGATTTCGTATATCTGGATGAGAAAACAGGCAAAGAAGTTCATCCGCACGCGCGCAAGACGGTACTGCGGCTCATCACTATTGCGGCATTTGCTAGCGGCACTTTTCTAGGAAGACACTGGATACGAGACTTGCTGCTTCGCAGGCCGCACAACTTCAACCCACGGGCATGGTTTCAGAGTCTAAAAGCGTAGATAATAGTTTGGCAACCCCAACTCTCGTTCTCTACATGACAACACTTCCGCTCCGACAAACGGGCCTGGATTTGCGTGTGCTGGGCACCCGCTATCAGCCTAGACATGCATGCAGCATAGGAAACATACATACATTAATTGAATTCATCCTAAAGCAGCGGCAGCGAAGGTTGAAGGTATCCGTGGACTTACTGGAGTAGAAACTCGTAGCTGGGATGCTGCCCACTCTCTACACTCCCTTTCAAATATGCAATAAACAAAAAAAAACTAAACCAAACTAATCAAGTACACCCCCATGTACAGTATTACCTTACGTTACACGTCCCGAGACTATACATGTTTATGATTTGTGGATTACACATGTCTATTCATAACCCATTCATTGAGTAGCAAGTTTAATCTTTATCCACCGTCTTTTCGACTTTTAATCTTTAGAGTGATTTAAATAGACGGACTCCCAAACCGCACCTTGTTTATGAATTTCATACCATATCAACTCCACAGATCTATCTTAGTAATTATATTTACGTTATTCTTTATCTCCATCACCATGATGTATAACATACATACATTTGTCCTACTTCCTCATCGCTTCCACAAGCTTCTTAGGAGTTTGTAAGTCTAGTTTTTTTTTCAATTCTCCAATCATATAGACGTGAAAGTGCTAATTGGCAGGATAGTGAGCAATGGATTTGGGCGGTGATAGCCATTCTATCCTGGTGCCGAACTCGCCTCCAAAAAACTAGACATGTCGAGTCTGATGAATTTGTAGTCATCGAAGGCGAAGGGTTATAATGGCACTTTTTAGCTCTTATGATGCCGAATTATATGTTGACCAGTTTTTTAATTTAGGAGGAGCATAGCATATTGTTTTTTTTGAAATCATCCCTCGGTGCACCACCACCTGAAACTTTTACAAGCCGAAGCGCGGAGCAAACACGACGATGACGCTCTGGAAACACCACACGCTCAACAAGCGAAGGGTTGAAAACCTTCCGTAATCTCTTCTGGCCTCAGCGAATCCCCGGGTGCGCCTATCTTCAAGAGTCATCCGAAATGCATATCACGCGGCCTATTCCAGGTCTACTGCGCCGGTTGCTTCGTATCAATTTACAACGAGCGCAGGGATCATCAGAAGATTGCAAAAAGATTCTTGTCCGAGACTACACACACACACACACACACACACACACACGCTTCGAAGTTCCGAGTGCCAACTTTTGGGGGCGAGACCATCACGGAGGCTGTGTGCATCCCCGTTCGGACAGACACGGACCGTGGGCGGTCAACACCGCAGGCCCACGACGACACAAAGGTGCTGCTCGGGTGGGCTGGTGAAATCCATTAGGCCGAAATGTCAATATCGAAGCAACGGCGGTCAATACTCTGACAACAAAAGGGCGATTATGGGGTTCAGGCGGGGAGGTTGGACATTGTGCTTAATGGAAACCCGACTATAGATAGCCAAAATAATACTTTTGATTTCACGGCAAGGTTTAATCCTAGGCCGCAATCATCTTTTCAAGGCTGTGTTACTACTCGAGGAAAGCTAGACCAGAATGTTCTAGGTCTATTTGGAATAGCTTTTCTTAGTTAGGGTTAGAGTTAAGACTATGAGAGGTTAGAATAGTACTCAGTGTCGTTTGAAGAAGGGGGAGATAGTCACACAAGCGAATCATGTCTTGTTTACTCAAGCATACAAGTATTAGGATGGATCAAAGCACGCATTGACATAAAAACCATGAGAGAGGAAAAATGCGTTAGATGTATATGAACAACACTCATCAACAAAAAAAGGGTCATGGCCTAAACGCCATGTATGCAAAGATACCTCCCATCCATGTGCCTCTAGACGACCGGAATGACAATACATGGAACACAGTGCAATAAAAGAGTCTCACAAGACCCCTTCCTAGACCCTACTATCTCTTCTCCACGAGCAACAAATGCATGGCCATGTAGGCCAGCAGGACGAATACACCACCAAACACACCCAATCCGATACAGTCGGTCCACAGCGCTTGCGTGTTGAAACCAAACGAGCTGAGGATAGCTGAACCAGGGACTTCAATGTCGAGACCATACTTGTGGTCGATAAGAGATAAGTATTTGACTTCGTTGACAATAAGACCTTCAAAGGCGTAATGGAAGATTGACAACTGTAAGTTGTTAGTACATATAACCTTAATAACCCAGTGGATGGGACTTACAGATTGCAGCCATTTGGCTACACCAGGAATACTATCCTTGTTCAAGAAGAAGCCAGAGAACAAGAGACTGAAGAGCATGACAAGCACGCCGATCAAGTTCGCGACTCCAGAGTTGCGGAACACGATACCGATGAAGAGGAAAATCGCCGCAGCAGCGAGGTTGAAGAGAACAAGGAAAAGCGTAAACTTGAGGAAGTTGGGCCAGGCAGGAATGAGGCCCGTCATTGGGTAAACGATGATGCCAAGGATAATGGGTGGCAATAGGCGAAGTGGGATAATGTCGAAGATGACCTTGGAAGCAAAGTATGCTGGCGGGGAGTAGTAGCCCTTGGCACGCTCACGGGTAAAGAGTAGCCTCTCAGGCGCAAAGACGGTGAGAATGGTCAAGCTGCTGAAACCGAAGAGAGAGAGAACGAACAGGAACAGACCGAGACGGTTCTGGAATCCCTTGATGTCGTCCGTGAGGCCATAGAAGAGGAATCCGAGGAATACGGCCAGGACAATGGCGATGGCGTAATGGGTAAGCATGAGCATCGGGTTGCGGTAGAGATTACGCCATGTGCGTCGAGACAAGATTTTGAACTGGCCAAAGAAGCCTACCTTCTTGAACCCCTTGAGCTTGCCTGCTGCAATAAATCCATTGACCTCTTGATTTCCATTCGTACCGTTGGCTTGATTGGCGCTTGCGACTGAAGTAGCAATGTCTTCGCGAATTCTGGCGGCGACCTCGGAGGAGGAGTAGGCGTTGATAAGAAGATCCAAGTTGGTTCCAGTTGCGCCGTTAGCAGGAGGTGGGAGCTCATCTGGATCTTCGAGAATCTGAGGAGGTACACCACCCTGTTGACGAGTAAGTTTCAGCCATTGAGCTTTGATAGCGCCTCGACGATCATAGGGTTCTTCGTCCGTCTTGGGTGACATGGTGCCATCGTTGGCGGTAGTAGTAGAAGTCTTCTTGCGTGTGAATAGCTCGCGTTCCTGCTGCTGCTTGATAGATGTCCTGCGCTTGCCCTTAGGTCGCATCATACTAGAGTTGCTGGGACTTCCAGCAAGTTCTCGCTCAAGCTCAGAGGTATTGATGCTAGGAATAGACTTGATGGCGATTGCACTGCTTGCGCTGGTGGTGAGTCCATCGCGGTTGAGATCACGGTTGAAGAGAGAACTGTCCTCGTCGATGGGCTGACGTGCTGTACTTGCGTGCATGGTAAGATCGACAATGTAATCAGCGATATTGAAACCAGGTGGGCAAGCGTAACCGAGCTCGTCAAAGTAGGACTGGCAGTTCTCAAAAGGCCCAGAGTAGACAGTGCGGCCCTTTGCAAGCAGAATCAGCTGATCAAAAAGGGCGACAATGTTGGAGCGTGGCTGATGAATAGTGAATACGACCGTTCGGTTGTAGTTTTTGACCAAATTGACGAGACACTCGACGACGTTGAAAGCGTTGAAAGCATCCAGGCCACTGGTTGGTTCATCGAGGAAGAGGATGCTGGGTGACGTGACAAGCTCACAGGCAATACCGACACGACGCTTTTCTCCGCCAGAAATGCCACGACCACTCTCTTCTGAGCCAATCTTCTGGTGACGAATGTGGTAGATACCAAGTTGGCGTTCTACATCTTCAACCCTCTGCTGTTTTGAGATAAGGCTCATTTCCTTTGGCAGGCGCAGTAAAGCCGAGTCAAGAATAGTCTCGTGGACAGTCAGGGTAGGCAGCAGGGTATCCTCCTGGTCGACAAAGCCGATAACGCTTCGGAACTCGTCGTCGCGAACCTTTTCTCCGTTGATGTAAAAGTCGCCGCTGTCGACACCGATTTTGCTCTTACGGGCGAGGATATCCAAGAAAGTGGTCTTTCCAGCACCAGAAGCGCCCATGATGGCGAGAAGTTCTCCAGGATGAACCGCTCCAGAAATTCCAGAGAGAATTTGCCTGCCATTGAGATTATATGCCACGTTTTCGAAGAGGAAAGAGGCTGGCTTGTGGTCGGCTAGCAGTTTCGCGTCCTCATCTTCCTCATCGTCTGACAGGTGAATGGGACCATAACGCTGCGCCTCGGCACGGTGGGTGAGGTACCAAATAACCAGGATAGCTGCGACTATGAAGAGCGCACAGCCAGCAATAACACCCGCAATGAGAGGCGTATTGATCTTCTTGATGGGCCTTTCGTAACCGGGTACTTCAGTCTGGTACAGACACTCGCCAGTGTCGCATTGTAGGAAGATGCTTTCATCGCCAAAGATGCTCGAGATGAGATCATTCATGGCGGGCTCGGAAAAGACGCTACCACTCTCTTTCTTGTTAACGGCTGAGATGCCCCTAAACTCTGCAGGACCCTTGATCGACTCCCTCAAGAAGTCGCCAATGTCCACAGAGCCATCTTCTCCGCAGAGCATCCTGTCGGGGATACACTCGCACTTGATGTTCTCGCATCGGTACTTTGTGATGTTACGATCGGCTTCGGCGGTGAAGTGGGAGGCGCACGTGTCGAGGGCGCAGTAGAAGGATTCCCTCTGGTCAACCCAGACTGCAAAGGTCAGCAAGATGGCGAGAGGGTGAGTATAGGTGTAAGCAAAACTTACACTGAAAGTTACACTCTTCGGCTTCGGCGTTGCAAGAAAAGGTGGCCTGAGGCTTCTTCTCCTTCAAGGTGTCGAGAATCTTTCTGTTGGTAATGTCACAGATCTGGAAGTTTTCCTTGACCAATTGGCCGTCCTTGTAGCAGACTCCGCCTTCGCCATCGGGCATCATGGCGTTACAAGCATCGTTGGTTTGGCAGACGTTGCAGTTGATGCCAGACCAGCCTTCTGAGCATTCGCATTCCTTTGCGCCTCCTCTGGGCGAACGGTCCTTGCCATCAGGCAGGGCACCGCAGAGGGGCTCTGAACAGTCCTCGCCGCCGAATCCAGGACCGCAGTTGCATCGGCCGTTGGCCTTGCTACAGTCGGCAAACTGCTTGCACTTGAAGTCCTCGAGGTTGCAGTTGAAGCATGGGGGGCAACCATCAGGCCTATCGCCATAGATGGAGAAGAGCGACTGTGGCGACTCGGCGAGGGAGTAGTTGGCAAATGTCTTGTGAGCGGTAGATGAGGATGTCATGCCCAACACAACAGCTGCGGTGGCGGCGAGCGACGTTGCCCAGCTTCGTTGGCGCATCGTGTGTTTGTGTGTATGCGGCGCAGAGCCAGCGATAGCAGGCAGCTGCGATCGGACCGACGCGTCGCCGTGATAGATGCGCGACAGCAGTGATAGCAACTGGCTGTCGAAGATGGAAAAGCAGCGCCTGTCAAAGGAGCGGCGAGGGAGCTGGACAAGCTCGTGTGATAACGACGAGGGACAAGACACGGCCACGGAGCTAGGACTGTGATGGTGACCAACACAAGGCGGGTTGCTATCATGGCGATTGCGCCACGATGATTCGCCGACGAGGCTGGGCCTGATCCAGCCAAGCATGCATACGGACCGTCCGACCGAGGCACACGCCGCTCCCAGTCCCTGGCGCCCGCGTCATCGACTTGTTGCTGCCAACATGCAAAAGACGACCCCGGTGCCTGTGCGGGACCATCACTTACTGCTGTTCCATGCTACCGTGTTTAGACTATTCGTGTCCATCTGCCAGGGCAAGCCCATCATCCCTGGTCTAGTCGCCGTTGGAGCGAGCCATGTGGCAAGAAAATGTCCGCTCGTCACGCCCTGCGAACTACATAGTAGACCCGCTCGAATGGAACCACCCGGACAACTATTTGAGCGCTTAGTGCCAAACGTCCGAGTAGACTCCTGGAGCATCGTTACCAAGTATTCTTTCTGTCCATAGTCAATCATCTCATCGCATCCAGCACAACATGGTCAAAATCGACAAGTTCGCAGTCGAGTCCGTAAGTCGTTCCCCGCATTTCTGCCATTTGATGCGGGGCGAAGCTAACCACTAAAAGTGGATGGACGCATATGAGACAAAATGCAAGTACAACATTGCCGAGACATGCTGTGCGTCAATCTCCGTCGACCAGTTACGCGACCTGTCAGAAGATAAGGACAGGCAAGTGTTCGATACTTCGCGCGTCCTCAACTATGGCGCCATTAGAGGAAGCGAAAACCTGCGGAACAACCTTGCCCGACTCTACTCTGTAAAAGTTGCAACACCGCTCCCAGCTGAAAACATCCTCACCACCGCCGGCGCCATCCAGGCAAACTACCTGACTGCATACACTCTTGTAGGACCTGGCGACCATGTCATCTGTCACTACCCCACCTACCAATCTCTCTATGATGTGCCCAAGCAACTAGGTGCCGAAGTCGACCTCTGGAAGGCCAAACCAGAAAACAACTGGATACCATCAATCGAAGACCTGAAAGCCCTCATCAAGCCAAACACCAAGCTCATCATCATCAACAACCCCAACAACCCCACCGGCGCAGTTCTCGGCAAGACCTTTCTTCAAGATGTAGTCGCCATTGCCTCGGAGAAGAACATCACCATCATGGGCGACGAGGTATACCGTCCCCTCTTCCACTCCATCGGGCCCTTGGATAAAGAATTCCCGCCCTCTCTCCTCTCCATGGGCTACAGCAACGTTGTCGTCACGGGCTCCATGTCCAAAGCTTACTCGCTCGCCGGCATCCGCGTCGGATGGATCGCATCACGCAGCTCAGACCTGATTGAGAAGATTGCAGACGCACGCCACTACACCACAATCTCCGTGTCCTACTTTGACGAGCAAGTCGCAGCCTATGCTTTACACTCGTCGACTATACACGGTCTGCTTGCGCGTAATATCCAGCTTGCAAAGACGAATCTGGCGCTGTTGGAGAAGTTTGTGATCAAGAATGAGGATGAGTGTGAGTGGGTTAAGCCCGTGGCTGGTACGACGGCGTTTATCAAGTTTCACCGTGAGGGCAAGCCGGTCGACTCTGTGGATTTTTGCAAGAAGCTGCTGGAGGCTACGGGTGTCATGTTTGTACCTGGTAGCACGTGCTTTGGCGAGGAATTTAAGGGGTATGTGAGGATTGGGTTTGTCAATCAGACGGATGTTGTCAAGGAGGGGTTGGATGCTGCGACGAAGTTTATACGCAAGAACTTTGATGACGTAGAGCTGGCTGCGTGATTGTGGGGTCCACTGTGATACTGGAATGAAGAAATACAGCCAACACTCGTGGAATATGCATATACTCGTCTCCGTAGTAATTGGTGCTAGCACTCTGCCTTGTTTTCGTAGCTAACCGCCTCAGCCACACTAGCCATACCGTGCTAAGCCACACCCAACCAGCATCCCGACTCAGTCCTTCGGCACGCCTGACAAGGCAACCCAACTGCGTCTCCTTGCTCCAGCCTCTGAGCCACCCCCAAGCACCAACGCATCATCCAGCCTGCCTCATAGACCAAAAACAATAAAGTAGTCCCCCCATCTCCCCTAAACCCTGCCTTCCATCTCACCCACTCACACCGTACCACCTATCTATCCCCAAACCAAACCAAACCAAACCACAAAACCCGTCATGTCCTCACCCGACTCCCCCAAAAAAGACGCCTTAACCTCCGTCCAAAGCATCACCTCCACCAACCCAGACACCACCATCACCTCCTCCTCCGCATCCCCAACCCCATCTTCCTCTTGGCGCTCAAAACTGCACTTGCACCTACACCGCACCGCACCACCCAGCGAACCCGGAAAAGAGAAGTGGCGGGATGCCACATTGAGTGAAAAGGAGCGCTGGAAGGAGTGGAACAAGGCAAAGGATAGGGAGCAGATGAGAGGGTGAGTTCTTTTTTTTTATTCTTTGGGGGAATGAATGAACTGACAGCGAGATAAATTTAGATCGACGATAGGAGCTTTTACCGAGTTTTACAAGGGAAAGGGTAAGACGGGGTATTGGCTTGATATCAGTGAATGATTCTTGTTTTTTTTTTAAAAAAAAATCTCCTGAAGGAAGAGAAGGGATGGAGGATGGAGGAGGTTAAGAGGATGATACCCCATTTTGAGCATATTTGATATTTTTACATTGCGTCTTGGTTATACATTTCATACATGTACAAAAGGTCCCATAATCGTACAGTAGTAGCCATTTTTCTATTCTTCGGCGATGAGTCTATCGACAGCTGGCAAAAACAGTTAGTAGTGAGTCTTGTAAAGGAGGGTTGGTTGGACAGGAAGATTGAATTTACCTTTACCGTCTTCCATCAGATACCCCGAACAATCAATCTTCCAATCTTCGCCTTGCACCTTGACTTTTGCAATGCCGAAGCGCAGGACTGCGAATTTAAATCGCAAGAAGAAGTTTGTCCATTTCTGGTGCACCCAGCGGGCGGATCCTTCCCAGACTCTTGCTGCAATGTTCAAGTGGCCAAGGTCATCCCACAGTTTCTGCTTTCGAAACCTTTCCGCCTCGAGCAGCTCTCGTACCATGGGCTCCGTCTTTTCGCTGATAGTCGCTTCTCCCAGTTGCGAGTAGATGACGCGCTCCTTGGACCACGGGGCTGCTCTGACCGTCATGCGTAATTGTATGGGTCCGCCTTGCAAACTAGGTATGACTTCCAGTATCCTCATGCGGTTTGTAGGCGCGGTGCAGATATAACACCCGATGGCGATAAAGGCCGCACCGACAACGACATAGGTAGGCCGCACGAAGAACGGCACCTCTCTATCTTTGATGTCATTGTTGAACTTCATGGAGAAAGCGCCGACGCCAATCCACAGGGCGCCTGTGCCGTACACTTTGGCATAGTACCATTTGTTGCGCGGGGCCTGGTATATCAAGACGGGCTGGCGGGTCTGGGCCACTTGTCGCAGGACCGGGTCATTGCTGACGAAACTCGACTTGAGATTGCTTTTGTAGTTGTACTGGTAGCGGCGGAGGGCGGACGAGGCAAAGAAACGGGCACTGCGCTGAGCCGATGTGGGTTGGAAGAAGGACTCTGGCGTGCCGAAGAGGGCGGCGCGGAGTGATGAGGGGAGGCGGAACGTGTTGGTGCGGAGGAAGGCATCGAAGCCCCGGGAAAAGGCAGGCATTGCAGGGAATGGGCGAGATTTTACACTATTATACCATTAAGCGCATCGTATGGAAATTGACTGCGGCGACTGCAAGTTCGTCTGTTGTCGTATGAGCGGCTTTGCAACCGTGGGATTCTGGTGTTCCGATGGTTTGTAGAAAATGTAACCCAGCAAAAACGGGCGGTCCAAGCGCGCCCGCTCGACACCTCCGAAGCTCATCCCGCGCTCAACATTTCTCATCAGCGACGTCCGACCGCCTGCCAACTCTCCACACACACAACCGGCCAATTGACTTCCCATGGCTTCGCTCGCCGCAGCATGTAGGGTTTCGGCACGCGCTGCCTCACAGCAGTTGCGCAGCCATGGTGCTCGGAGAGGTAAGAAAGAATCCTTACACCACGGGGAATATAGAATGCTCACGGGAATGGGATACAGGCCTTCATTCGAGCCCGGCTTCACTCGCCGCACAAAACTTCAACATGCCTGCCCTTTCCCCGACAATGACCGAGGGCAATATTGCGACCTGGAAGATCAAGGAGGGCGATTCATTCTCCGCCGGCGATGTCCTGCTCGAGATCGAGACCGATAAGGCACAGATGGACGTCGAGGCTCAGGATGATGGTATTCTGGCAAAGATCACCGTATGTGTACGGGAAAGGCTGGGATAGCTAGTCGGAAATTAACAGCCAATACAGGTCGGAGATGGATCAAAGGCAGTCAAGGTTGGCACACGGATAGCCGTCACCGCGGAGCCTGGAGACGACTTGAGTTCGCTCGAGATGCCCGCCGAAGACAGCCCCGCGCCAAAGAAGGAGGCCGAGGCCCCCAAGGAACAACCCAAGCAATCTGCGCCAGTACCCAAGGAGGAGCGGACATCTGCACCACCCGCAAAGTCGGACGCTTCAAGCAAGGCCTCGAGCGCCAAGGCTACAAAGCAGACCTACCCACTATACCCCTCTGTACAGCATCTCTTGGAAGTAAACGGTCTGCCCAAGGAGGAAGCCGACAAGATTCCCGCTACTGGACCCAACGGCAGGCTACTCAAGGGAGATGTGCTAGCATACATTGGCAAGATTGAGAAGTCCTACCCATCAGAACTCGCCGGTCGCTTCTCCAAGCTTTCCCACCTTGACCTGAGCAACATCAAGCCCATGGCCAAGAAGGAGGCACCAAAGAAGCCTGCAGCTGAAGCACCCAAGGTTGTCGAGGACTTGCCCGTTGAGCTGGCCATGCCCATCTCTCTGAAAGCCGTCATGGAGTGCCAAAAGCGCGTCAAGGACTCAATAGGCGTCTTCCTCCCCCTATCCACCTTTGTCGCTCGTGCAGCCGAGCTCGCGAACGAAGATCTTCCCAAGTCCAAGACGGCCAAGCCATCAGCAGACGAGCTCTTCAACGCTGTCCTTGGTCTCGACAAGGTCTCCGCAAAGTACTCCCAGGGCAACTTCTTCCCCCAAATAACCGCACTTCCCCCCACCAATCTCTCTGCTCAGCCCCCTGCGCCAAAGAAGTCCGACATTTTGGATATTCTCGCCGGCAAGAAGCCCAGCCCGCCTAAGCGATCTACCTTTAGCGGAGCAGCAGGCGTCGCAAGCCCCCTCAACATCTTCAGCATCAGCGTACCAAAGGGCGACGAGAAGCGCGGCCAAGTCTTCCTCGAGCGCGTCAAGGCTGTACTCGAAGTCGAGCCAGGCCGATTGGTTGTGTAAGAAGAATCACGTCTGTCCCTCTTCTTTTTTTTTCTTGCCACCACCACCGCCCACTTTATGTAGCGTCTGTATAGTAATGCATCTCCACTGGTTGGGCCAGAAGGTGTTTGTACTTGAGTATCTACTATGCCTGCCCTTTCTTTCCTCAGATAGATCATGATAACAGTATCATTATGCATGTTTCAAACCCAATGACGATTCAAAAGTGATAAAGTTACTTTCCCATCCTGCCCCCCCTTCCTTTTTCAAGCCATGGGAGGGGGGGGAGGGCATACACCCCCTTGTATGCGCAGATCGCGTGGCGTTGAAAATGCCGCACTTTCCACACTACATTGCGTGGTTAAAATACCGCATGCAAGTAACTTGAAACGGATGTGTGCTTATGTTTAAGTCACTGCCTCGCCGTTCATTTTGAGAGATTTTTTTCCCCTTCTCTTTCTGTTTCGTTTTTTCTTCTTCTTTCCTCGCTGGTTCATTTGCTCTTACTGTGATGGGGTACGTGAGGTGTTGCATGTGGAGTATGTGTGTGTGTAGTTTCGACTAAAACATTAAGACAAGCAGTTTTTTTTTCACACGATGAAGCACACGGATATTTCACGGATGTTTGCAGAGAGAGGTAGGTTTGGTGAGAAAACATCGATTGATTGGGTTGAACTTTCTTTAATCGCTATAACTCACTTTTTTTTCTTGTTTTCTATGATTTCCCATACGTTTCTACGTTCCTCCTTTTGTTTTGCAATTTGGTACCAACCTCCACCACACCATCATGGTTGAGCATAATGGCAAAAAAAAAGTTGTTGAAAACTTTCAAGTAACGGGAAACATATCGTTGATATTTCCTGTCACCATCCCCCTTCCCCTTACTAACCTTGATCATTTCAAGACTATTTAAACCTTCTCACCACCAGCACCAGTCGAGTCTTTACTGTAGTATCGACCAAAGACACGGTCCTCAATCGCCAAGTTCTTATCAACCTTTCCGGTTCCTCTCCTGGCTACCTGGCGGCGGAAGTAAACACGCTTGCACCACTTCCACAACTCGATGCCCGCAAAGAAAATGCCTGTCTCAACAAACACGATGCCCCACTCCCAAGAGATGGGCGCATGTTTGAAAACGACCGTGTTGAGCGTTGGGATGTAGATGAGCGGGAAGAGAAGGACAAAGCCAACGATGATAGCCCAGAACAAGAACTGGTTCCTCCATACATCTATCATCCACTGGGTGAAGTAGCGCTTGCTGCCAGGCTGCATACGGAAGAAGGACCTGCGCATATCAATCATCTCCCACGCAAGGAAGAGAGCAAACCACGTCAGACAGGCGAATGTGCAAGCACGGGCACGGAACACAAGTTCGCACTGCTCAGAATACGTCTCATTGCAGCCATCGCCGAGCTCGCCATCACCGAATCCAAACACGACGAGGACAAAACTGGCGAGACAGAGGAGCGTAATCCACAACCCGTAAACCACCATGTCGACCAGGAATTCCATGGTGAAAATTCCCGTTTTGAGTGACTGAGGAGGCCGCTGCAAGATATCCGGAACCGCGCGTTCGAATCCCAGCCCCATATCCGGCAAGCCAGACGTGGCCATGATAATCCAGACAACCTGTACGGGAGCGAGTGGAAACACCGACAAACCAGTTCGATCTTTGAATGCCAGACCCACAAGAAGCGTACCGGCTTGCGCCACATTCTCTGCTAGGACATGCAGCACGAACTTCTGGATATTGTCAAAGATACGGCGACCTTCTTCGATGGCAGCGAGGATAGAGGCAAAGTTATCATCGGTAAGAACGATATCGGATGCTTCCTTTGCAACATCTGAGCCTGCTTGACCCATAGCAATCCCCACGTCAGCGCGCTTGAGCGAAGGAGAATCATTGACGCCATCGCCAGTCATTGCGCAGAAGCGGCCGCGGCGGTGCAGAGCCTCAATCATACGGACTTTGGTGCTGGGAGCACACCGGGCGACGACGAGCGGCAACACAGACAACTTGTCGACCTCATCATCGCTCAATTTGTCGAACTCTGCGGCAGTCATGACAAGCGTACTCGCAATATCGTTTCTGATTCTCCTGTATCGATCGGCAGATGGCAGGATACCGACTTCGATTGCGATAGCCTTTGCGGTTTCCGGGTGATCACCAGTCAACATATGGACCTCGATACCTGCCTCGTGGCACTGGCGTACAGCGACTGCGGATTCCGGACGAGGGGGATCGTAAAGGCCGATGAGGCCGCGGAAAACAAGTTCAGATTCAACAGTGGAACGCTCGACTTCTGCGCCTTTTGCTACCTCGTGGGGATACCGCTTGCTAGCGAGGGCGAGTACGCGCAGACCGAGACTGGCAAGAGCCTCCATATGAGAGAGAATCTCTTGGCGGAACTCTTCAGTAACAGGCTGGGAGTCTTCCTTGCCATCGGCCAGGTAGGTAGTGCAGCTCTGGATGACGCGTTCGACGGCGCCCTTGGTGAAGGAGTAGTTGCCGCTGGAATGCTTCATGATGACCGACATGCGCTTTACATCCGAGTCGAAAGGAAGCTCGACCAGATCTTCCCACTGAGGAGAGTCGCCCTTGGTTAGGCCGAGACGATTCATGCCGAAACGAGAGGCGAAGACCTGAATGGCGATTTCGGTTGGATCGCCATGAGCCTCCCAGGTTCCATCATTTTGTTGCTTCACAGCAGCCAAGTTGGCCAGCGACGCTACCTTGAGGAACTCGCCGAACCCAGAATGGTTGTGGCTTTCGAGCTTGTCGACAGATACAAGTTCACCACATTCATCACCGCCAGCCTTGAGATTCATCTTGGCAGGGGACGCTCCACCGAAACGAACATTGCCGGCAGTAGGGTCTTGAGGGGCGGTCGAGTCTTCGATAGTGTACGTTCCAACGCCGGGGATCCACGCACCACGAGCAATCATCTTACCTTGAGTCAGCGTTCCAGTCTTGTCAGAGCAAATGTCTGTAACGCCGCCGAGCGCTTCGAGTGACTTGAGGTTTCGGACAATGACGTGGCGCTGGACCATGGACTTTGTGCCAGCAGCCATAGTGATGGTAAGTACCACCACCAGACTGGCTGGAATCATGGATAACCCGGTTGCTACGGCATAGATGATGACTTCTTGACGATTGCTAAACTTGTTGGCTGCTAGGACAATGATGGCGCAAATGACGGCGATGAAGAAGAGCAAGACAGCGAGCTTGGACAGCTTCTTCTGGAGAGGAGTTCCAACATTGAGCCCCAGGAAACGTCCAATAGCGTCGGTTGTGGTGAGCGTGTATGCCTCGAGATAGCGATGGGGCTTTGCTTTTCCATTCTCCTTGCGCTTGACGGGTCGAACCTTGGACTGCGTTTCGCGGAGCTGAGCAGCGATGGCACCAATCTCCGTATATGCGCCAGTGGCGAAGACGATGCCCTTGGAGCGGCCCTTTGTAACGCTAGATGAGCTATAGGCAACATTGAGACGGTCACCAGGTCCAGTGTTCTCGTCGAAGATAGCGTCTTCTTGCTTGCGTACAGGGAGGGACTCTCCAGTCAACAATGCCTCATCGGTTTCGAAATTGACCGCATCAAAGACTCTCATATCGGCTGGAATCGTATCACCAACCTTGACTTCAATGATATCGCCAGGAACGACTTCAGCCGAGGGGACCGTAATCTGCTGGCCGTTACGAATGAGACGTGCAGTGGGCGAGCTGAGAGAGCGAAGCGAGTCCATTGTCTTTTCGGCAGACCACTCTTGGAAGAAGCCAACGACGATGTTGAGTCCGATGACGAAGGCTACGACACCACCTTCGATCCACGACTTGATACCGAAACTAACAGCCATGGCCATTATCAGGACCAGAGTCATGGCGTTGGCGACTTGGGCGACGAGAATTTTGATGGGAGAGACGCTCTCGGCTTCTCCCAGTTCGTTCGTTCCGTACTCATCGACACGGCGTTTGGCTTCGTTGTCATCTAGACCAGACCATTCCTCCGTCTTGAGCTCGTTGACGACTTCTTGGATAGTGAGACTATGTGCTGGTTTGGACATGGGCTTGTTCGCCTGGCCACTGACATGCCCCTCGAGAGGGGCAGCTTTCTTCGCCATATTGCAAGTCCGAACGATTGAGTATTGTTTTTTTGTGCTTCTTTTTTTTGAAGATAAGGTTGAACAGTTAATGAAAAAGGGTGATTGCTTTGATGCGGGTACCGAGACCAGTTAGATTTGGAGTATGCTCAGTATCAACGGTCTAATTTTCTGCGAATTCTTGCCCCGCGGACTATGGCCGCGTGGACAAACTTGGTAGATGGGGTGTTGACTGTGGTATACATAGAGAACTTCAGCACGGGGCGGGGGTGCAGACTCCTCCTAGATCAATGCCGTGATTGGCAAGTTGGGGTGGTAGAAAATGAGTTGGGGTAGTAAGAGAGCTTGGGAAAGAGTTGGTGTGTTGGACAAGAGCTGAGGCAGACTTTGAGAAAGCAGGAAGTTAGAGAGAAAATTCAGAGAGCGAGGAAAAGAAAAAAGGCAAGAAGGGTACAGGTGGCTGCAACATATATGCGGAGCAGTGGGGGGATCGGTGTACGACGTCGTGCCAAGCATGCTCGGTTCACGCCAAGGTCGATTCCAATTCAGAGAGCGGCGGATGCCAAGGCGAAAACTTCTCTCGATGCTTAGCTGTACGGGTAGCCATTGGGTGCTTGTCGCAATGCCATGTCCACGATTGTAAAACGGGTACACGGCATTTTGGCACTTGGCCAGCTGGCCCATCTGCTTCTTCGATATCTCCGGTGCAGACCTGTCCGGCTTGACTGTGGTTCGGCGAAAAATGAGCGCTTCGCATGATTAAGTTTCTGTGTAGACGTCAAAAAGCCGTTTGGGAATGGATGTAGGCAGTCTGGGTTGAGGCTCAGTGGCGGTTTTTCACGGGCGAAGAATGTGGTTACGGACAAGTCCGAGGAGCGTAGTCGCTAGTGCCAACCCAAGGAAGGAAAGAGCCAAGGATGTTGCATCGAAGCTGGTTCATGACATAGCTAGTCCCCGTTCTTCGCCGTACGTACCAGCTGCCCTCAACCGAGCCGTTACAGCTATTCTCCTTGGCATTACCGTGTTCGCTTAGCTGAAATCAATCGAGTCCGCAATAAGATTGAATAGGATATCGCGATCAATGTTAGAGCTACAGGCCCTACCGCTAATACTTGGGCAATCTGACTCAACCCATAACGAGGCCTGTCTGCGTAAGGCTTGTAACCAAGTTCAAGAACCACACGTTCGGTAACGGTACCCGAGGCTTAGTTCCAAAGCCCAATTAGGTAATTGGGAAGAGATGCATCGAAGTCAGCAATCTCGCCTCGGCGCACAGATACAACATGATATGAGTTCAGAATGACTGTGCATTGTGGTGATCGGATGGGAATACATTGGTACATTTCGTAAGAGTGATTAGGTAGTTGTATACGTGATGAGATGAAAGACATGTATCTCGACACATAAAGTATGCGTAGTGGGTCTATCATACTATCATCATTCTTGAATCATAATCACAATCCTCAAATCCACAAAGTCGTTGTTGGTTATCAATTGCACGTGATCAGACCAAAGTGGACCAAAATAAATGATACTCCTGGTGTGTTACTTAGTGTACTAAATCTTCTTCTTTTCCTAAAAGAATGACCCAACATGTTGCATAGTACAAAATAGTAATGCATAAAGAACTAAGGATCAGACACGATAATCCAGACGGAGATGAGCAAAAAGAATTGCAAAAACATACGACAGCAGGGATTCGTCAGTGATCACCTACCTGACTACTAGTCTACCGGTCAAACATTTGTCGTGCGGGGAGCAGACGGGACCCAGATTGATTTTTTTGCCTATGGCCGCATGTGCCATGTCTTCTTGATTTCTCTCTACATGTGTATGGCGCATCCGTGTGAGCGAACATAAGCTGCGTATCAATTTCAAGCCAACTCCATCTTCACCACGGGAGATATCTCTACATCTTGAGTTATAGGAAACATTTAGTTGCCATATCAAAAAAATCAGATAGAATAATATTGATTTCATTGACAAGTGCACTAATCTACGTAGCGAGTGGCCTACCCCGCAAGCGTTGTCGTGCATCGACGCGCCTGTGATCGCCAACCTCCGAGCTCACCGCGATCAGTCTTCTCATCGCCAGACGTATGACTATGCTTCTCAAATATCTTCAGGTCCGGCAAGGCCCAATGCCTGCCTGCGCGTCGGCGCATCAGCCTTGAAGAATGGCTTCTCGGCCAATGATGTCACCCTAGTTCCGTGCCTCGGCTCATTTCCTTCATAGTCCCAACTGGCGTTGTGGATAGTGATTCTGTTGTCCCAGAGCGCCGACGTTCCTGGGGTCCATCGGAAGCGGACCTGGATATCGACACTCTTCTCGTATACATCAAAGAGATAGTTGAGGATTGCATCGCTCTCGCCCTTGTCCAATCCGACAATGCGTACGGTGAAGGCGCGGTTGACCCAAAGTGCCTTCCATCCCGTCGCGGGATGCACGCGGACCAGCGGGTGAACTCGCTCAACATGCTTTGGACCGGCGGTGGGGTTATCACGCTCAAGATATGGGTGTGCGCTACGGTACACTGCCTCTCGGCCGTCGATAATCTTCCTGAACTCGGGGGAAAGTTTCTCATAAGCAGCATAGCCTGAAGCCCAGAGAGTGTCACCTCCAATCTTTGGGATGGTGTCGTTGTGCAGATGAGTTACACTAAACTGGTCAGTGAGGGGATCATTGAACTCAGAGGATCATCACATACCCGGCGGGTTGGCGTTCGTGCACCAAGTCAGTGTGCCACTGGGACGCTCCGCCAGTCTTCCTGAAGCTGGCAGGTATCTCCGTCGCCTGGAGATCGGGCCAAAGAACAGTTATTCCTGGTACGCCTGGTACATGAGGAACCTGCGGCTTCACCGTCTGTCAGCATATTCAACTACAGGATGGGGGGATGACATACATGGACTTCGATTTCACCAAAGTATTCTCCAAGCTTCTTTTGCTGTTGAGGCGAGAGATCTTGGTCGCGGAAGAATACAACGCTCCTCTCAGCAATCAAAAGACCAAGCTCGTCTTTCTGTTGGTCTGTAAGATCCTTCAATTGAAGTCCAACAATCTCAGTTCCGATGTGTGCTGTCAAATGAATGATTTCTTTTGCAGCACTGAGCAGTGCCTTCTTCTCTGGGTCAGCTCGGGAACCTGGGTCGATGTGTTCCCGATCATAGTCCCTGATCTTGTACACATCGTCGAGGTAAAGTGGCTTCGCCGGCCTGTATGGATAGCCATTGGACAAATCGATACCTGCCTTCTCAAGCCTCTTTCTGGCTGGCTCGGGCAGTTTCAACGTATCCTTTCTTGGTTGGACAGTGTCCTTCTCTTTAATGTGTTCAGCAACGGGGATTGCGATTGGTGCCATGTTGACGATTGCTGCGATGAGGCTGATGATGGCGAATAGTTCACGATACCATCACTTCTTATATCCGACCCGATTGCTTCCCCACACATTGTCTCCTCACAGCTTAGAAATACGTTTCCTGTATCTGTTGGAGCTAGTCGGTTACATCGCGTGGTGGTTGCATGCTGGCGATGCCCATGAGTAGTTGCGGGGTCAATCACATCATTCCGGGGATTATGACGAATATCCAGTCAACATCTCCAACCTTATCGACTGGATGCCGCACCTGGTTCCTCAGACAAAAATTGTGGGCTCTTGCATTTGTTTCTAGTTTGGTATGCCGGTGCCTCCTGTATGTTGTTCTCGCAATAGTGGGTGTTCATGATGCCATACATGTCCACCACTACGCCTCTCGAACCTTCACGCCTCTGTCATTGCGTGATATATGCTGATAAATACAGTCTTGCACAATATGGACAAAAAACGCAGGGAACTGCAATAAGGTTCGGCAGTGGTTCGTCTCGGGGCTGTTCTGACCGGGGCCAATTGAGGGAATGCGCTCAACCATCGCGGAAAGCCCCAACGACGTCCTTATCTCACCTTAGCAAAATCTCCACCATGGCTCTCCCTTCGAAACGTGTCGCTGTGATCGGTGCAGGTATCAGTGGTGTCGTTGCTGCGGCCCACCTCAAGAAAGAAGACATCGATGTCACCGTCTTTGAGCGAAGTAGTGCTGCAGGAGGCATATGGTAGCTTTCCCAATCATACCAAAATATACTATATACTCACCTCATAGAAGGCTGTACGACGAGCGAAAGCCTCTTGAGCCATTGTATTCAGGAGTGCCAATTTCGAAGACTGGCAGTGCATACGCAAGTGAAGAGTCAGAAGATGTGCAAAGGCGGATCCATGCACCACCAGGGCAAGTTCAGATATTTGAAGAGTATGTGTACTCCAAGACTGACTGGAATTAGTCCATGCTATATCGGCTTGAAAAACAATGTAAGCACCCGCTTACTAGAGACCACATTGAACAAGTTTCCGCCTGGAACTGAGGACTATGTGACGCACAATGTTTTAGCAGATTATATACAGGACACTGCCATTGTGACAGGAGTACACGAAGCTACACAGTATGATACGAATGTAAAAAATGTCTGGAAAGATGGCGATTCATGGTCAGTTGAGACGACGACTCTGCAGACAGATAGTACAGGTGTGGAAACGTGGAACACTTCTACTCAGGTTAGTGCTTCCATGACCATAAAAACCATGATTCTGACATGCGTACAGAAATTCGACGCTGTAGTCGTTGCTTCAGGACATTACCATGCACCAAGAGTTCCAGATACCCCTGGTTTGGTCGACTGGAAGAAGAGATGGCCAGATAGGGTAGAACATTCGAAGCGCTATAGAAAGCCTGAAAATGCTGAAAACAAGGTATAAATTGAATATGCTAGAGAAAGGATCCTTAGAAGATACTCAGATTAACACTTTAACAGAATTATCTGCTTGTTGGTGGAAGCGTCTCAGCAACGGATATTGCGCGTGAGCTCAGCCCATACGCCAACAAGATTATCCAAAGCCAAAGGAACGGCAAATTCGATCTTCCTCCAGCAATGCTTCCCGAAAATGCCTACCGGGTCGACGAGGTAGTGTCGTACGATGCGCCCAGCGCGGATGAATCGAAGCCCTTAGGCCCATCAGAAGCCATACCAGGCACAGTGACTCTCAAATCAGGAAAGAAAATCTGTGACATTCACCATGTTATACTCTGCACAGGATACCACCTTACATTGCCGTTTTTGCCGCAACTTCATTCGGACGACACGCCGGTCGACAAGGCAGACGATACACTGTTGGTGACGGACGGAACACAATTCCACAATTTACACAAAGACATTTTCTACATCAATGATCCTACGCTTGTGTTCGTTGGTGTTCCTTTCTTCACTGCCACCTTCTCCCTGTTCGAGTTCCAAGCCATGGCCGTTGCCAAGGTGCTCTCTGGTCAGGCGAAGCTTCCAAGCCAAGAAGCCATGCGGTCCGAGTACAACGAGAGAATAAAGACAAAAGGCTACGGCAAAGACTTCCACAGTCTACGGGATCAAGAGGCAGAATACGTCAATGACCTTTTAGCCTGGGTCAATGCTGATTTGGAGAAGACGGGCAAAACCAAGCTCAATGGGCACAGCAGTCAATGGCTCAGTCTAAAAGCAGAAATCGTGGCAAGGATGAAGGCATTTTTCACCACGCCGGTCTTGGAAAAGAGGCTTGAAGCAACATGTCTGTAGCAGACTTAGAATGGATTATATCACGTGACTCTTAATATACAATACACAACATCCCATTCAAACCCAACTGACTCGTCAAAAAGCCACAACAGACATTCAGACCCTCCTTCAACTGCCGTTACATCCATCTGAACACGCACTATTCTGTTGAGCCAATACCGTAAAATCCACGCCCTGTACGAGATGCCTTATCTTTCTCCTCAGGCACGCCATCCGGCTACTCAATGACGCCAACATGTGACCACCAACCCACGTCCTCTTCATGCAACCACGGAGTTTCGATCCCACGAAATCCACACACGAAAAATCGTAGCACAATTCCGGATATCTTAACCCGAGGCCCAAAGGTGTTGCAACCTGAAGAATGTAACTGGGGGGAAGTGATTAGCGCTTTCCAGTCCCAGAAACTATTTCCCACGCAGCCATCGAAACCCCCCCTGTCAATGTCGACATTTCGTCCCCAGTATGTCGCCTTTTTTGCCTCACGGTCTCGCATCGAAGCGACATGCAACCCACCCCCAGTTTCGCCAGCGGGCCGCGCCTGCCATGAATTCTAGGCGGTAATTGAAGAAAGAAAAAAAAGCCGATGTTCTTGCGGAGGCTTGGTTACGCCCAAGCCTAGACCCTTGGGAGGTAGCTTGATAAAAGCAGAGCTGGTTGCTTTTACTTTCCCAGTGATACAAAGCTACTTTTTTTTCTTTGAGCACGCTGAATATTCTCTTCTGATTGCTGCTGCGACTATGGGAGTCCCCCAAGATGTCTCGGCCACTTTGGTGCCTGCTTCGCATACCGTCCGGTCTGACGAGGAAGTAACGGCCAAGCCGCATAAATGGTATTATTACCTATGGGATACACTCGACAAGCCAAAGGAGGAACGATGGTTTATGTTTAAGCTTGATGCTGCGTTGTTGACTTTTGCGTCGTTGGGTATGTTTATTTGCTTCTTGTATCTCTGTTTGAGGAAAAGAACCTCGGAACTGACTTTGTTTTGGATAGGTTATTTCATCAAGTATCTTGATCAGATGAATATCAACAGTGCTTTTGTGTCTGGAATGTAGGTTGCGGAATTTGCTTTGATTAGAGGTCTTCGTTTGCTGATATCTATGCTAGGAAAGAGGATCTTGGGTTATATGGCAATCAACTTAATTACATGCAGACTTGCTGGACGGTGGGATACGTTATCGGGGAGATACCGAGTAACATCATCTTGACCCGTGTTCGACCGTCGATTTGGATTCCCGCCATGGAGGTACGTTGGAACTATGCCCTGTGCAAGTCTCATGTGCTAACAGTGACAGCTCACATGGGCAGTCCTGACGTTCTGTCTCTGTCGCGCCAAGAACGCAGAAACAATCTACGCTTTACGATTTCTCATCGGTAAGATCTAAATCACCATGACAAAAAAAACATTCCTAGCTGACTTTACCCCAGGTCTCGCCGAATCTACTTTCTATCCTGGCATGCAATACATAATCGGGTCATGGTACCGCAAAGAAGAACTCGCCAAGCGCTCCTGCATCTTCCACACCAGTGGCGCAATCGCAACCATGTTCTCAGGCTACCTCATGTCCGGCGTCTACAGACTCGACGGCAAAGGCGGCTTCAGAGGCTGGCAATGGCTCTTCATCGTCGACGGCATCATCTCCATCCCCATTGCCCTCATGGGCTTCTTCTTTCTGCCCGACCTCCCCGAAATCTCCAAACCCTTTTACCTGACAAAAGAGGAAGTCAAGTTCGCACAGGAGCGCATGCAGCGCGAGGGCCGCCAAAAACGACAGCCCTATACTCGAGCTAAGATCTGGAAGATCTTTACGTCCTGGCATATTTACGCCCTCGTGTTCCTTTACATCTTTTTCAACAACGGTAACTCGGGCGCGCAGCCTGTGTTCCAGCAGTTTCTCAAGTCGAGTAAGCATCCAAAGTATACCATTACTCAGATCAACACGGTATGTTCTTTCCCCCTCCTCCCCTATCATCTCTCCATTCTTGATATAAAATAACGACTTGAAATGCTAATTCCAAACACCAACAGTACCCAACAGTTACCAACGCCGTCCAAGTCGTAACCACCCTCCTCTACGCCTGGACCAGCGACAGCATCCTCAAAGGCTCGCGCTGGCAGCCCATAGTCTTCGGCGGCTGCGTAAACATAATGTGCTACGTAAGCCTCGCCATCTGGGACATACCCATCAAATGGAAGTGGGCCTGCTACATCCTAACGGGCTTCGGCGGCGGCATCTCCGGCCTCTGCTACGCCTGGGCACACGAAATATGCACGCATGACAACGAGGAGCGCGCCATTGTGGTGGCTTCTATGAACGAAATGGCATACGTGGTTCAGGCGTGGTTGCCACTCGTCGTGTGGAAGCAGGTCGAGCAGCCGAGGTACCACAAGGGCTTTATTACGGCCGCGTGCTTGAGTTTTATGATGATTGTTACGGCGTTGACGACGCGCGCGCTGCATTTGAGGGAGTTGGGGCAGAGGAGCGAGGCGCGGGAGGAGGGGCAGTATGTTTCTCAGAGTAGTAGTAGTGCTGGAGGCGAGGAAGCTGGATCGGATGTCGATGCGGATCTTGGCTTTAGAAAAGGGACTTGAATGGTGTTTTTTTTCGGTTTGGAAACATGGTACTGAGCGATGTGTATAGCTGGCGGGTGGATGGTGAAAAAAAATAGCGATGCTTCTGTTTGATGAGCGTAAAGATAAGATGATAGAGTAAATTGATAGATATCATGGCAATATGGGCGGTTGGTTTATTCCTCACTGTTTTTGAGCCGAAAGGAATCTGTTCGGATAATCACGTGACCTTGTTCTTCACCCAAGGCCCTGGGACAGCTGTAGTCGGCAATATGGGCTTCTGTGTCGATTACACATCAAGTGAGTATCAACGAGAAAAGTCCGTACGCACAGGCGTGGTATCCAGTCCTCCTAGCTCCAGGGGCAAGCGGCTTGCACAATCATAGTACCAATGGCCAAAGCGCAGAAATTGTACAGCACACAATCGTGATCGTGGCGTTGGAACCAATACATGGCAACAAGACATGCTCGTCTAAATTGGAATAGATTCAATAGCGCCAAAAAGGTGTTGTCCACAACAAAGGGTAGCGCGTCTTGTTCGGGTCTAATCTAAAATTTTGGGATGGGGTTCATCCACGTGGTATCCGGACTTTGGTTCGGCTGTGCATGATAGGCATGGTCCTAGGGCAAAGGGGAGGACTAGTAGCTATGCAGGTGAAGCTCCTAATCTCGCATGGCCCCGACTAGCGCCTCAGACTCCTCTTCGTCCTCGACCTTTTCCTCAGAGGCATGCCGATACAGGATGTAATGTTGCACCATGAAGATGATGTCAAAGACGATGGTAATGTTACCAAGGCCAAACTTGACTGGATTGCCAGTGACACCGCTCCAGTCGTTTTCCAGCGCAGAGTCGATGCACAGCTGTGCAAGTGACAGCCAGCCACCGGCAAAGTCCAGTAGCATGGGATAGATGCTCCAGCCAACGGTGGACTTGCGTTTGTAGTTGACCCATGCTTGTGGTATATATTTGAGAAAAACAGTAAGGAGTTTGACGTAGCCAAGAGTGTAGATCTAGATAGGGTGTCGTTAGTAGTGGGCAATCACAATGCAATAAAGACGAGCTTACGACATCGATCCACGCCCATCCTTCAGCGTTATAGCCTCCGTTCTGCCCTTTGAAGCGGACTAGCAGTACAACTGCAAATATGGCAGCGACGCATGCCCACCAGACGGTAAACACAACGCGGCTCACTTTCTGCCTCTTGCCCACTTCAAACCCCCATATGGGCTCGAAAAACTGGCTGTATATGATGAAACACATGACTGCGCCGTGGGCAGCAAACAGAAAATCATTGAATCGCACCGTTGTAACAGGGGCTTCGGGGTGCCGTTGGGCATATTGTGCTTTGATGGTGGGGGAGTAGAGGAACGAGGCGGTGGAGATGGTGTAGCAGGTGAAGCCGAGGACGTTCAAGGTAGGAAAATCGATTGCAAGGCCAAGTGTGGATTTGCGGATGTAGTTGGATATGGGTTGAGGGTAGAAGGACAAGGACCTGAATAGGAGAGTCAGCATGCGAGATAAGAAGGACCCAGAGCCAGAGAAAGGAACACACCAAGCAAGAAAGTAGGCCCAGCCCAGGACACGCGATATGGCTCGCGCAAAAGCCTCGAGCTCGGGGTTCATGGTTATGATGGCAGCCAGAGTACCTCGCGATTGCGACAGGAAGATAAGCGATGACGAGAGCGAGTGGACGGCATAGGCGGCGCTGCCAGTGTCTAGTGTGGCGCCAACATACGACAGAAACGTGCAGAATGGCAGAAGAGAAGAAAAAGCACGAGGGGTTTCAGCGACAGTCGCAAAATAACGTCATTGTTAAGCGGGCGCACCTGATGCTGCGGCGTGTACAGGCCATGTGCGATTGCGATAGCGACGCGGTGGGTGGGTGACCGGGATTGGCCCATGTTCCGAGCGGGTGGGCTATGCATGTGTGTGGATGAACCCGCCGCTGTCTTGCATGCAACGGCTCGCTACTAAATACAGTGACATCTGCATACTGACTCTGTTGCACCAATAACCGTCTAGTTTTAATCTCAACTTCACCTCGTATTATTCTAATAAGAAATCATTTTTCAACGCCACTGTGGTCTACCATGTTCCGAGGCTAAAGCGCAGTCTCACCGGCTTTCAAGGTACAGCTTGATTCCCTCTCCCTGACCTACGAATGAGGCTTGTAAGGCCTCTCCCATGGTGGTTTTGACAACATAAGCCAGAGGCCCACCGAAAACTTCCCTGCTCTCATACAACACGGTTCCATTGCCATAATCAGTAATAGCCTGCCACCTTTCAGCACTCAGCATGACCGAAGGTGGCCAGTACGCCCAGGCTAGCCTTCCCAGGTCGCGTTGTACAGCTGTAACGATCTCTTGTGATGTTTGCGTGTGTAGAGGGTTGTCGGGAGTGTCCTTGTTTACGGGCAGTGGAAGCGAGGGGATCTGAACGCGGAAAAAGAGATTCTTGCCCTCGACAGGCCGTTGTTCAGGCAGTGTGATGTTAAGTGGTGAGGTGACGACTGCATAGCGGACGAATGGATTCCAGGCGGCGTAGTTGGGGAAGTCGGTGAGCAGGTCCCAGACGGCATCGAAGTTAGTGTTGTGGATTTCTATGCGGGTGCCCGCCTCGAAGACGCCTGGTTTGACATCTGGAAGATTGGTGTACTCTGAAAAGGCAGGGCTTGCATAGAGGAAGGAGCAGTAAAGGGCGCTGGCGAGAGTGGACTTGAACATGACGAGAGAACAATTTGGCCTTTTTTGTCTACCAGAAGACGGGATCAGACGGAATCAAGTACTTTTCAACGTCTTTACGAGGGTGGGGCGCTCGATGGCGGCTGCAGACAGGGTCGGTTACATTGGCGAGATTGCTCGGTTACAGTTCTGAGATTGCTCGCTTGCGTATATAAGCACGTAGTGGCCGGCTCTATACTGCATCAGGAGCATTGGTCCGTCTACATTGCACTGGCATGTCGCGTGCGTGTCAAGAAGAAAGAAAACAGATCTGCATAGGCGAGAGTCGATGACATGAAACGCACTGCAAAGAATACGATTGGAGAGGCAGGAGATGAAGAGTGGAAGAAGAGGTGTAGTGTAGACTACGCTGGGGGTCGGTCAACCCGAGGGATTGTTATCGATAAGCCTGCAGACAGACTGTTCAGCCACAGATTGTATAGCCACAACTGATGCAGCCACACATTGATGAGCCACGACAGCCCAGCCACATGTGACTTAGCCACGGATAGTTAGTAGGATGGCTACGGATAACCTCGGGCTAAGAGGAGCTTATTGATAAGGAGACGTCTATGCGCAATACAAGGCCACTAGCGTGTAGATGGACACGCCAACAGCATAGTCACAAGAACAAGGCCAACACTTGTATCATGACGGATTCTTGAGACGCGATCGAGACAGGGATGCATACATGTTCCATAGTAGTAGTTCCAGTAGTATGCGCTGAAGACACGTGACTACAGCTGACAATGCCATATGCATTTACAGTACGTACTGTACTGTACTCTACACATCATCGTCATGTGGTGCTGAGGCATCAGCCGGCGTCGGAGTGAGCAGCGCAGGTCACGAGCAAGAGGCCAAACAAGGCAATACATAGCATACACAGTCCTACACACGTATTGCCATGCAGGACGAGTGGATGCAGCCAAGCCAAGGGTCGAGGGAGCGAATAGAAGGGTGCGGGTGCGGCATGCACATGCACCACCCTGCAGAAGCTCTCGACTGCCCCTCGGTACCTTGGCCTTGACCGACCGCGACAGCGTAGTAGCCGCCGCCGCAAGTATGACTACTGACGACGGCTTGCATATACAACGCCTCAACAACTGCGGGTTGGGAACAAAGGTCGCCGTCGGCTATCGCCCGCCGTCAACAGTCTTGCAAACGCCTGTTGTCCTGTTGAGCTATTTGAGGTGCGCCCCCAGCCTGCGTGCCGTGTGAAGGAGCACCCCCGCCGTCTGGCGATAGTAGCTGCTGATAGATAGATAGCATTCCACATACATCCACCTCAACGCCAGCACAGCCCGAGTCAGCATCCAGGGCTCCTGTGCCGCCATAACACCGCTGCACCGCTGTACGCCTGTCTTGCTGTGCACGCACGCGACTTGCACCCGCACGAGTCGCCAGTCACGGCTGCACATGACGCAACCGCCTCCGTTTAGCCTTCATCCCCACGCCCTGGCCTGCCGCCTGCACCCGTTGCTTCCCTCGACCAACTCTCCTCCACCAAACACGACACACACACACTCGCCCACCCTCTACCACCGAGCTAGCGCTCCCCATACACTCTTCCACACGCCTCTCTAGCAGGTTGAATGAGCTCATCGCCCGACACCGTTGCCGACCAGACGCATACGAAGCCTGTTTCAAACCTCACCTACCTGCACAAGCACCAGCCCAAGCCCAGCAAGCAGCACGACAGCCCTCACGCGCGTGGTCGCAACTCCTCGAGACATGAGCTGGGAAGAAGAAATAGGCAGGGTGAACGGGTTACGCGCATCTATCCCAGACAAGTGTACGTGACTTCCCTTGTTGATCCGCCCCTGTGTCAGTGACTCACCACCTCCCCAGAACAACCTCTCCCTCGTCTGCAAAGCGCCTGTCCTCCACCTCTCCACCAACAAACTACAATGCCACCGCTTCCCCCTTGCTGTCGGCCATCGGTGCCACGCGAAACACTGCCGCCCAGTACACTACCGAGTGGGCCAAGTCGGTACCCTTCTTCCCACACCAAGGCTCCCCAGGTAATGGCGCCATAGCTATTGCAGGCTCTCCACCCACCTTCCACAACTCGCCCAGTGGCCGAGAAGGCCTATACCAACACCAAGCCATGTCCAACTCGCCGCCTGGACCACGGCCCCTAAGCCATCCTAACCAATACACAACCTTTGGTGGAAGGATGCAACACTCGCCGGGCAGCGACCGTAGGGCCTCCATCTACTCGCAAAGCGGTCGCACTCCTTCGCACCAGTTTGTTCCCAACCCCCCGCTGCCTCACCAGCCACAAGCCCACTACTACGGCCTGCCCAACCTTGACTTCCTAAGCGCCCCGAGTAGCGGCCTCCAGCCTGGCCAAGGCGGCTGCTTCTGTGGCTTCGACACACTGTCCACGGCCGGGGACGAAGCAGCTCGCTCTGCTGAGAATGTCCTGCTCGTCGGATGTCAAGGCGGTCTCGATGTCTTTCGCGTCGAAAAGAGCAAGATGGACATTGTAGGTCGCCTGGAAGGCCTGCGGGGCGCCGTAATAGGCGCAAAGATTCTGCCCTGGTCATCGCGGAGAGATCCGCTGGCTGCCTCCCGCCCACTTGTTGCACTGATTCTGCACGGTCCAGTCATCAAGGACAGCCAGAATAGCAGTGCAAGTGGCTCCTCTTCGGTCGCCGATGACTCGGCTTCCGATTCGCCCAGCAGGCCATCTTCACGACACGGAAACCATGAAAATGGACAGATCAGCGGTTATCAGACTACCGTTGAGGTTTATTCCCTCAAGGAGAGACGGAGGTTGGCTGTCCTATACAGAACGCCAACGACCCCCCTTACCAGTCCAATCGACAGCCCCATGTTCCAGCCACCACCGCCTGTAGGCGACCTGGTCGTGGACGCAAAGGGAAAGTTTGTCGTGGTTGCTTCTGGCGCAAGTGGCGAGGTGTTCATCTTCGCTCCTTACATAGAAGGTCACTTCGAGTATGCCGAGCGTTTCCGCTGCATTGGCAAGCTGTGGACCTCTGTCCAGAATCGTGAACGAGCTGTGCATTCAAATGGCTCCAGTGCCGCCGATGGAAGCCACGACGAAACTCCACCGGATAAGTATGGCTTACCGGTCTTCTCGCTCTCCGATCGCTGGCTTGCCCTCTCTCCACCGGCATCAAGCTCGCTCTACCCCGTTAACGGGGTAGCATTGACATCGCCCTACTACGAGCGTGCTCCGGGTCTCGCACATCATAGTGTGCCGCCTCAACCATTGCCCAATTGTGCTGTCGATGCACCTAACGAGGCAGGCTTGATCGACAGACTTACCCGTGAAGGAACCCAAGTTGCTATCAAAGGCGCACGCTGGGCTACTGAAAAGGGAATGCAGGCGATCAAAAGCTACATGAACAAGGGCCAGCAAGGCAATGGTGTCTCGCACAACCAAGATCCAATGCAGCACTACTTTCCACCTACACACGGCTACAGCCAGGCTCAACCCAGGCAAGAAGCCGCTGTCATCTCAGTCTTTGATCTACAAAAACTGCTAGATGCAGAAGAGACCAGAAGCAAGAGTGCTCTCCAGCCTGTTGCAACTGTCCCAGCCGCCTTGGGATGTAGCTTTCTTTCCTTTTCCCCTAGCGGTCTGATGCTCATGTCGGTGAGCAAGAAGGGTGACTATCAAGACGTTTGGGATCTGAAGCGTATGCATTTCCGACGAGCGCGCAAGACAGTGAGGGAGCAGCCTATAGGACCGCATGTTCGGCAGGTTGCTCGATTCACCCGCATGACCGTCGCGAATGTCATTGATGTAGTATGGTCTGCTCCTAGAGCCGACAGGTTGGCAGTGATTACCGACAAAGGAACGGTGCACATGTTTCCTATGCCGGCATCCGCATTCCAATGGCCACCTGCTAGGCGGACTCGACCAGTGGCCCAGCCAGCTCAGCCTAAGGAATCCACTCCTCCCAACGGATCTACTGGCGCAGTCAACTCAGCAATGCAAGCCATCAATAGCGCCAGGCCCTGGTTTGATGCTGTGCGGACAAGAACCAACAGTGGTTCACGTTTCAGTCTCAGTGGTCTTGCTGTAACACCTGTTGTGAGCGCCAAATCTGGCAAAGCTGTAGCCGCTGGGGTGGGCAAGTCGATTAACAACATTCGGCATGCGGGTGACAATAAACTGACGCTCCCATCCTCTTCCAGCGGTATCAAACCCTACAGTGTTCGTTGGTTGTCTGGAAGGGGTCGTGGCTCAATCGCATTGGTCTCTGGCGGTGTACTTCAGATCTGGCGGGTCCAGATGCGACCTGCTGCCGGCAAAGGGAAATCGGGCAACACGGCCACAATCACCAAGAAGAAAGCCGTAGAGTTTGGGCTAGCTCCCATTCCAGACATATCTCTCCCACCGGCGGTCACAGAGCAGATTATGCCGCAACCTGGAGACCCAGAGCCAAGCCAGGAGTGCTATGGAGACTGGTTGCCACGAAGCTTGCCATGTCGCAAACCTGCCGGGCCGACTCTTGCGCCGCTCAGTTTCTCCGAGATTGAGACCAACCCGCCTTACCAGCCTTTCTATACGGACAAGCGCGTGACGAGGTTTGTTTACGCAAGGCAGGTATCAGAGGTTCATGGCAGCGCCAGTGAGTACCAGCCAACACTTCCCGAACTGGTCTCGGACCTCCACCACGACGACTCATCACCCTGGCTATTTGGTGAAAGCGTAGAGGCGACACGACTCTCCTCGCCTGTGGCGCCAGCCTACGACTCGGGCGAAGACGATATCACTGGAGTTGCTGCCAGGATTGAGAACAAGCTTGTGCTGCGAGATGGCGAAGAAGAGGTAGAACAAGTTGTCGTGACTACCAGACGACGACGAATCAAGAAAGATGGCATCAACGGCGGTGAAGAAGGTTTCTTCGAAGATGACTGCGAGGTTCTTGATTTTGCAGAGGATAGGGTGTGATTGATAAAAAGAAACAGAAAACCCACATATTGCCTGGACCAGCCGCTTTTAACAGTCGCTACCACGTTGG